TTATTTTCTCAATAGTTGCATACTGGTCTGTTTGTTCTCTAGCTTGTGGTTGTACTGAGTTTCTCAAAGCGAACCATTCATAGTTTGCCCATGTTACTGTTTGAACTAAGTCAGAGTTAAATATATCTTATATCCCATGAAAACTTCTGGAGCATATTGGTATCCGACATAGAAAATTCCATTGCAACCTTTCTTGTCAGACAACTTGGCAGAAGGTTTATTTCAATGTCTTGTTCCACGTATAAGAAAGAGTTGTCAATAGAAATTATATGAAACCTGTCGCAAGCAATATCTACTGTTGTTGAAGAACCTTCTCCAAACTCACCTACGTTTCCATAAGAAACAGCAGTTGTATATTCGTAAGTTCCAGGAACTATTTCTGACCTTCTAATGGCATTGTTCGCATTCGTATACCATTCGGAAACATTTCCATTCATAGCATCCAAAACTGTTGGCGTTATATTCTGAGCGGCGTACATTTCATATGAGTAAAAATATAGAATAGTTGGATTTATATGTCATAATAGAACCCACTCCGACCAAGCTTTACTTTCTTCCTGACTGAGTTTTTAACTCTTCTTTTTCCTTCATTGCCCTCTGCTTGAAGTTGTTGCATCTTTGCATTATGTTCATCTAGTATGTTGCAAATTTCCCATGTCCTTTTTGCCTTTTGGCTCTGGTCGCCCATCTCAGGTAACCTATATCCTAGAAAGAGTTTGTCATAGTCTGTATTTGAGTCTGCGTATTGTTTGCATGACTCTTTCCTGAGTTTCGGTTCAAGCTCTTCAAACAGTGCCTGTCCATATGAATAAGCTCTTTCCAAATATATGTTTTTGTAGCCATTCTGGTTTTCTTTCCATGTTACCAACTATTCTTTTGTGAATGGGAAAGCTTTTACCCAATCTTTCAGTCTTGCGTCGTTTATTTCTGTAGTTGGTTTTATTTTGTCAAGGAACATGTTTTTCAATACTAACATTTCATTTGGTACTGTCCATTTGAGTTTTCTTAAATATTCATCCCTTCTCGTTCATTGTCTGCAAAGTAAGTTTTTATGACATTTTTGTAAACTTTCGTTTGCAAGGTCATGTACAATAGGTTCTCTTCCTTCTCTCCCTAACTTTCTTTCTAAACTCTTCACCAAATATACCATCTCTATGTTCTGTGTAGTTCTTTGAGATAAATGTTCTAGAACGTCAGTGTTATATTTCCATCAGCCATGTTCATTTCATACTGGTCCAAAATATCTGCATGTTTCATATCTTTCAATGGCATTAAAGCCGCGCTGAAAATACCAGCTATATCTGGTTCACCATTGACTTCCATTGCGTCTACAACTTCTTGGAATTTGGTTGTAAGTTTATGAACCACCTATCCGTTAGCTTTATGACCCCATCTCATTGTAGTTCCATCGTCTGCAGAAACAAAAGTAGGTTTGTTTCCATCTTTTAGGTTCTGAATGAACTTTAAAACAATGTTTCATTTCTATATGTTTTCTTGAAATTTAACCTTTTATTCTTTCACCGAGTTCATCCGAAGATTGAACGTTAAATGCTCGTAAGAAAAAGGGTTGTTGTATTTGTGTACATTTTTTTTCAGTTCTTCCATTCTATGTGAATTATTTCATCTGCTGTTGGAGTCTTTTGTATGTCGGCAAACATTTTTCGATATTCTTCTACTATGTCAGCCGAATTTTTTTTAGACTCTGGAAATATTCCATATTCTCCGCATACTCTTGTTGAGGGTCAAGATTTTTCGGCTGTTCCAAATCTTCATCTAGTTCTGTGAAGTTAGTTTCCAAAGGAAGGACTTGTTCGTTTCCTTCAGGCTCTTCTAGCTGTTGTTGCTGAACTATTTCTTCCATGTCTGGTTGTATCTGAACTTTCTTCCTGTGAGTTTCTTGTACCTCATCTGCTGGCATTTCATATATTCCGAGACCGTTTTAACAATTTCCCTATCTACGTCATCCGCATTCATAAGCTTTTGTTCTTTCGTTCCGTCTCTATTTTTTACGCGTTTCATGACGAAAGTTGAATTGTCATTTAGCTCTGACATCAAATATCTCGGAGTAAAATTCATCCATTCATTTGGATGATATGCTATTAAATTCATATCCCTTAGCGAGCTTGTATTTTCCAGGTTTGAGATTATATCCGTTTTGGTGCTGAGCCATAAAGCTAAATAGGTTCGGGTCAGTATTTCCATCCTTGAACTTTCTAATAGCTTCTTTATATCTGTCACTAAAGTCAACAGTATCTGGGAAACCACACTCTTCTTTAAGCATTTTTAAGAATTCTTGGTTTCCTTGTTCTCTACTTCTTTTATGTCCTTGCTCTGTTTGTTTGTGCCTGGTTGTGCTGTTGTGAGAGTGGTTGTTGTGCTGGTTGTGTGGTTGTGTGCTGGTTTGGAGTGGTTGTTGTTGCGTTGTTGTGTGGTTGTTGTGTTGGTTGTTGTGTGGTTGTTGTGTTGGTTGTTGTGTTGGTTGTTGTGTTGGTTTTGGTGCATGCCTGTGTCTGTGTCCATGTGACGATGTAAATGTTCTAGGTAGTCCTGGTGCAGGTGCTTCTCTTGGAGGGTTTGGTGGTATATAAGTTCCACCAGCTGGCACATATGTTCCATCTGCAGCGTAATGTCCTATCTGACTTTTCGTTTTTAAGAAAGCATTTACTAGGTCTGTTTTGGTCTGTTGTAACTCTTTTTCTTGACTTTTCACAACAGTTGCTCTAACGGCGTCATAGGCACTTTGAACTGCCTGTCTCGTTGCTGCATCTGTTATTTTCGTCATATTTTGTGCTACTTCTTTTTAACTCTTTGTCGAAACCTTCAGACTTCAGTTTCTTTCCAGATGAGAAGTCGTTCACTAGTTTCACCTTACTATGAAGAGCTTCGAAGGCGTTCTTAAAGTCAGCATTCATTAAAGCTTCATTTGAACTGTCTTCATCCGCTTGTATTTTTGTCCTTATTGACCCTATAAGCTGGGCTGCTTTAGCGTTGGCTTGGGCATCTAACCAGTCATTGTTAGCTTTTATATATTCCGCGCTTTTCATTGCCTTTTGCATAGCCGCGTCGTTATTTTTACTTTCTTGTGCTAAGTTTTCATACTGTACGGTTTGGTTTTGCAACTGTAAAAGTTTTTCTGCCTTTACATTTGCTTCAACTTCTTTTTTATACTCATCGCTATCCATATGTCTTCAGGGCTTTTTGTTTTATCTCTTCATCTTTCAGTACTTTATATTGAGTAGTATGGTTTTTCAAATTTATAACATCTTGTTCCATTTTTGCTACTTCTGCTGCTTTTTTCTGACACTTTTTTCGCATATTCCTCTGTACTTAGTTCTTTCAGTTGTTCTTCTTTCTTCTTTTCTCTACGTTTAACTCATTGAGTTTCTTTGTGTGTCTGTCATATTCTAGTTTCTTTTCGTTTTTCACTTTTTGTTTCTGTATGTCTATGTTTGACTTTTTGACATCTGTTATTTGATTTTGAGTGAACTCAAATTCATTTGACTTTGAGGGTTATAAGCTGTTTCCGTCTGCAGCTCCACCATAGCCTGCCATTTTCGCTAAAAGTGCCGCTCTTAAACCTCCACTCTGTGCACCAATAACTCGGTTTAAAAGCATAGGGTTGCTTGACATTTGTTGCAACATAGTGGGGTCATTCAGCATTTGTTGTTGCAACTGTTGTTGTGGTGTCAGTCTTACTATTGGATGTTTCAATGCTCTCTTCCTCTTACGTATATTCTTACGTAGCTTACGTGGCATTTTAAGTGAAGTTAAAAAGCGGTTTTTGACAGATGTTTTATTGTGACTTCTTCGTAAAGACTTTGTTGAGATTTCTTCGTAAATGAGTGTAAATGACCCAAAAATATATTTTAGGGTAGAAGGGTATATCTACCCCGTTTTCTACCCTCTTTTCTACCCTCTTGAATTTTCATGAATTTCTTCGTAAAGACTTTGTTGAGACTTCTTCGTAAAGACTTTGTTAAGACTTCTTCGTAAAGACTTTGTTGAGACTTCTTCGTAAAGACTTTGTTGAGACTTCTTCGTAAAGACTTTGTTGAGACTTCTTCGTAAAGACTTTGTCAAGACTTCATCGTAAAGACTTTGTTGAGATTTCTTCGTAAATGACCCTAGTAGTATATTTTTGGTGTAAATTTCATGAAAATTCAAGAGGGTAGAAAAGAGGGTAGAAAACGGGGTAGATATACCCTTCTACCCTAAAATATATTTTTGGTGTAAATTTCATGAAAATTCAAGAGGGTAGAAATGAGGGTAGAAAACGGGGTAGATATACCCTTCTACCCTAAAATATATTTTTGTCTGATTTTACGAAGAAGTCTTGACAAAACATTTACGAAGAAGTCTTGACAAAACATTTACGAAGAAGTCTTGACAAAACATGAAAACATATATAATTTGTGAAAAGCTCCTGGAAGACCTCCGAATAAAAACTTCATTTATGTGGGCTAGAGGGCGCAACGCGCCTGGAAGCCCTCCGAATAAAAACTTCATTTATACTAAACATCTTCAGGGCTAGAAGGCACGAAGTGCCTGGAAGCCCCACTACCTTTTTTTTTTTTTTTTTTCCGGACATTTTGAAATCTTTGTAAGGATCTTGTTTGGAGAAATAAGGGCCAGGGTCTCCAAATTTCAAAATATTGCCTTTTCCATTTTTGTTTTGGAATTTTGTAATCTGTTAGATAGTGAAATTAGCTGATATAGTTATAAAAAGTCTGAATTATGGGTCTGTCTCACAAATCTGACATAGCATCTGAAGAATTTTAGGTAAAAATCAATGCTACCTCACTTTTCAGGCTTTATCCATATATAGTTGCTTATGATTTAATTAAAGGCGACTATATAAAGTTTCTTTCTATCGGCGCGCAGAGCACCTAAAAACGGTTCGATTTATTTTTGAGCAGAGAAAAAAAAAGTTAAAAAATTCCATGTTTTCACTGTTTCTTCGAAATGCTTTTTGTAATTCTGTAAGTATTAGTATAGATTCGATGTTTAGTCCACGTAGTTCCATTCCATTGAATCCGAATGACTATATTTTGATATGTGATGCAAAAATAAACGAACTCAAGAATAGGAAATTAGGAGAAATCATTACTGGTGGAAGAATAGGCTATATCGATCACAATGTTTCATGTTCCGATCATAAACCAGTAACATTAACATGTAAAAAACAGATTTCAGAGCAAGATTTCAATAAAATTACAAAAGCTCTCGAAAACGAATACAGATTATCATTTTCAGTTGCCGGATTTCCAGTTGCTTCTTATTCTCACAATGAATTTCGTTATCGTGGAATTCCATTTGGCTACAAAGATGGACCTGATGTTTTACTTAGAACGAAATATATTTTTAATGTTGCATGCGAGACGAAGCATCCAGGACATGCAATGCAATTCGATTCTTTAACAGAAACAGATTCTTATCAAATCATAAAACCAGGGTCTACTGCTAATTTCCAGTTTGTTATTTCTTCAAAAACAGCAGATACTGGATTATCATCTTTGAATAGAGACCCAGATTACGCAATTAGCAAGAGAAATTCAAGATTATATCTTTTACTTTCATTTTTAATTACGGCTGTTACATTGGGATCTTCTATTTACATTTACATCCAAAACAGAGTATCAGATAGCGATAATACGCATACTCTTGAAATGGACCTTGAATCCGAAACTAATTTCGAAGAAATAGGTTGGAGATTACTTCATGGAGATATATTTAGAAGTCCTCCGCATCCAATTCTTTTGTCTTCTTTTGTTGGAGTCGGATTTGATATTTTATTAACAGTTTTCTTCGTTTTCGTATGCTCAGGACTCGGATTCTTCGAAATAGTTTCATTTTCTACCTTTGTTGAACCATTTATCCTTATATTTTTCTTAATTACTCCAATTTCTGGATTTTTATCGACGAAACTCTTCAAAACAATCAGCCGTCAGTACTGGAAACGCAATCTTCTTACATCGGGCTTACTCGCTACTGGATTCTTCTGTTCTCTTTACCTTATTTTGCAAATAAAATTTATGGGAAACAAATCTCCAGCGTCAGTCCCCATAAAATACATTCTGAAAGTATCCTTCATGCTCATGATAGGCTGTTTCTTCTTCCATTTCTTCGGATCCGTCCCTGCTCTCAAAGGAACTCCATTTGAGTTTCCAACAGCTATAAATCAGCTTCCAAGACACATTCCTCAGCAGCCATTCACATCATCTATGTTCATGATGATGCTCTGCGGTGGTGTACAGCCATTTATTATCATTGCATTAGATTTTCATTTAATTCTCGAGTCATTGTGGACAGGATTGTCATTTTTCGATTGCTGGGGGCATGCATCCATCTCTGTTATCCTTGCTTTGTTTACATCTGTTGGTGTTTCCATTCTTTCTGTTTACATTTCTGTTTCTAATGAAGATTACAGATGGTGGTGGAGAGCTTTCATGACTCCTGCGGCCAGTGGATTATTCTTGTTCGGATATTCCATGTTTTACGTGTTGTTTACCGTTAGACCTTTGTTTGGCGGATTAATTCCGTATTTGATTCAATCTGCGATGATGGCATTCGTAGCATCACTTGCAATGGGATGTGCTGGATTCATTGGATCTTTCATCTTCATTTGTGCGTTGTACAAAGCGCTCAAAATGGAGTAAATTTATAAATTTCTTTTTCTTGTTAAATAAATAACAAATAAATTATATCTAAAATGTTTTGTTATTAACTTATGATGTTTGTAAGTGCATTCATAAAAGTTCATTATCATATTTCATAAGAAATATTGAAAACATTTACAAAAATATGAAAATATCTTCTTCAAATGAAGATAATCGTCTGAGTAATGATAAATATGCATTTGTTGCTATACTTTACTAACTTAATAGCATCAAATTTGGAATAGAGGAATAATTTTGATCTCATTTTGACTACTTTCTTATGTAAAAAGTGTTTATTTTTGTATCTATATCCTATGTTTTAAAATATTGGATTGCATAAAGTGGAACCAATAAATTTCAATTCACCCCCTGTAAATTCGTTAGAGGGCGAAATTTATTCTTCATATTTGTCTGCAGAATCATGACGGAACAAGACGTGAAAAATATGCAGACGGAGCATAATGAAGAAGCTAATAATAAATCTGGAACAAACAATCCAGGTCAACCATCAGAAAAAAGTTTTAATTTAGATATACTCCAAAATCCAGTAGTTCCGGCAACCAACGGACCCCAAGTACAGAAAGTCATAGTTAAGCATCACCAACCTGTTTCAAAAGTAATTTGCCGTAAAATTTCAGAGCCATCTAAATTATTTGATAATAAGCATACTACTGAATCATCAAATAGCGGCATAAATATATCTATAGTTGATACTCTGCTCAATACACATGTTTCTAGGCCAAAATCCGTTGATGTTTATCAAGATCCAAAAACAAATTTACCTTCACAACCGGCAACAGCACAAAATAACTCCCTAGCTGCTCTTCTACAGCCAAGCCAGCAGCGTCCTATGCAGATTATTCGTGTCCCTCGCCAAAGTTCTTCGTCAAAAAAGAAAGATGGCGAAAGAGTTGCAAGACAAGAGGCCAAACTCATTACTATTATAGACAACAAACCTCATATATCCGATGTTGGCTCTTTACTTCAGCATCCATCCACTCAAATTCCAAGTCAACCTCAAATCATCGTAAAAACAGCTCCAAAAATACCAACAGCCTCGGTCTTTTTCAATCAGAACGTCATTAAAGTACAGCCACCACCAATCGAAGCCAAGCCAGCTTGTCTTTACCCAGTTTTACCTTCTGCAACAGATGTTCAACTTTTAATTGATGCAGTAGACCTAGAAATCAAAGAATTGGAAGCTAAAATGGACGAATTAGTTACTGAACGGACTCTTGGAATGATTTCTCTACCAGATTTTTCAGATAGTGGCAAAAACGTCAAAATTCTTGATTTCCATAACGTCATTCATTCGAAAGACATCAGCCAATCAGTTATAGAAGGTAGCAGACGAATTGCTGAGCAATCTCATTCCAAATTCAAAATGCCAGTGAAAACAAACAAATTTGGCCACATTTCACACCTCCCTCATTACAAGGATGAAATGGAAAACCAAGAATCAGTCATGGAAACAATGATGCAAGTTCTTTGTCAAAAAATTGTAAAAAGTGACACAAAAATGAAACAATTGACCCACGAATATATCGAGAGGCGCAAGCTTTGGGAAGAGTCCAACGAGCTGCTTGATTTGTACCATAAAGATCTCCACGCGTCCATTGATGAATGGCCACCAGAATTTGCTCTTTCCTTTATAAAACCAACCGACCAAACAGTGACACAATTCTGCGGAAAAGACCAGATTATGTATCTCGATGACGAAGAGAAGGAGAGCTATCTTTACTATAACGAAAACTCCTTCGTTGAAGATCCAGTGAAGGAACACGAGAGATACAAGAAAAGAATATCATGGAGTGAATCTGAGAAACAGACATTTCTAGAAAAATATTACCAGCATCCAAGAGATTTCAAGAAAATTGCGCAGGCACTGCCTCTTAAGTCTATAAAGGAAGTAATAGAGTACTACAACATTTACAGGATAAAACTGAATCTAAAAGCTGCTGATGTCGCTGGAAGAAAGAGAGGAAGAAAAAGAATTTTAGTTGAATAAAAAAATTGCGTTTATTTGTGTGTTTGTTGTATGATAAATAATTAGAGATTTTTTTCTAAATGAGAATAAGTGGTTCTTGTTGGAAGCTGCTGAAAAGACTTTATAAGGTGGTCATTCATAAACAGCCGCATAAGACTTATTCCTAATGTGATCGAAAATAGACGTCCAGTTTTTTAAGGCCGCACTTACGTCTATCTAACTTTAATTCAAATTTTTGACAACTGACGCGAAGCGTCGTTGCAAATTAAACTTAAGCATCTGAATCGAATGTCATATCATAAGAGAGTAAGTGCACCCTTAAAAATGGATAATTTTCATCTTTTGATGTGTTTTTTATAAGATTGAAACATATAATAGAACATAATATCATAACATACATATCTAGTGGTTTTAGGCAAGTTAAAAATAGGAAATTAATGAATTTAGATTGCCTGACACAACTCTTAAATAATTGGTTTATATAAAGGTTTTTCAAGAGTTTCTCGTAAATATAAAAGAGTATAAAAAAGGAGAAAATTCTCAATATCTGCACAATTTAAAATGATGAATTTTCTTTTGGAAAAACAACTGATGATATATTATATCCTTGACCCTTCATTATTTGGGATTAATTTGAATTTAAAAAATATGAAGAAATTACGTATTAACACTGTTTATTTTCTGTATTCTTCTTAAGTATAAACTAGTATAATAGTTTTGCTGCAAAAAAGCAATTTATGGAGCGCTGTACTTCTCGTGGAGGTTGTTGGACAAGAATGTAAGCCAGACGCCTTTGAAAACACCGAGGTTTGTAGCAAGAACAGTTGTGAAAACGCCAAGATCGATTTCTTCAGTTGCAAGTTTCTCACTTGTAGCTGTGTATACGATGCAAAGGCCGCCGAAGTAACCTGTTGTAACAGAAAGAAGGAAGGCCATGATGCACATCAAGATATCGCTTCTGAGCTTTGGAACTTCCACAGAAACAACGATGAGTGGGATGAAAAGAAGTCTCAAAGCGTGTGGGATCCAGAGATACTTTGGCTTTGGCCATGAGAAGAATCTTGTCATGAATCTTCCAACAAAGTCACCAATGTTGTAGCAGAGAATCATAACAGTTGTGAACCAACCGAATTCCTTGAAGTGTTGGTTGCCAGCTAAGAACATGTAACCTGGGTAGAATGTAAGTGTAATAGCGAAGTGGAGCCAGCCCTCGATAACGAATGGCCAAATCTTGAGGAAAACACCCTTGATTCTTCTGACTCTGTACATGAAGTCGTTGGATGTCTGAGCGAGTTTGAGTTTCTTCTGAGCAGCTTCTGTTCTGCTGAAGAAGTGGAAAGTAAGAGCTGTTTTAACTGTAACGAAGCATGAGAAGAACAAGTAAAAGACACCCTGGTTCTTAACACTGTTTGGAAATGCGGCCTTGGCAACAACCCAAAGAAGAGATGTGATTAAACCACCAAGAGCAACACCTGTGTTAGCTAAAGCTGATGTCTTATCACCAAAAAGACCAGCAAAGCCCATTGAAGAGCCGAATAAGACTGATTGAGCTGCTGATGTAAGGGCTGCAAGCAAGTAGATAATGTAGTACTGTGGGTTACCGAAGTTAACATAGAAGAAGATAACAATTTGAACAATTGCCATCAATGTCATAGCGAAGTATAATCTGGAAACGAGTCTGAATGATGTTCTACCATTCAAAGTTACGGATTTTCCATTCAAAGTTGCGGAAGTTCTCAGAAACATTGCGGCAGAATAAAATCCTCAGAAAACTGCGTATTTTATCTTTATGTAAATGTATTTTACAAAACCTCCGTTACCGTTCTTTGGAAATAAGAGTAGATGTAAAGATATTATTTTGAGAGAGCTTCAGAAACTTCCTAAATGTCTAACGTTCGTAGATTTGTTCGGTGGAAGTTTCTATATCTCTCATTTGTGTCATACCGTATTTCCTGACTCAAAAATTGTGTGCAATGACTTTGACAACCATATGGAACGTCTCAAACATATCCCAGACACTAACAAAATATTGAAAGAGTTAAAAGAAAAGATTCCGATAGGTAAAATGGAACGTATACCGGTTGAAAAGAAAAATATTGTGAGAGAAGTTTTGAAAGGTGCAGAATATATTGACTGGGATACGATATCTGCAAGACTTTTGTATAGTGGAGCGATACGAGTTCATGACATTGAAACTCTTATGCCAAAAGTTTTATATTTGAACTATACAAATGGTTTCAAAGAGGACATAGAAAAATATATTGAGGGAATAGAGTTTGTGAGTTGTCATTGGTCAGAGTTGTATGAAAAGTGGAAAGGCAAAGAAAACGTTTTCTTTATTTGTGACCCACCTTTCTATAACACATGGGATTTTCAATACCAAGCCGACTGGACTTTGAGAGACTCTTTAGAAACTTTAGACGTTATACATAACCACCCATGCTTTTACTTTACATCCGATAAAAGTGGTTTGGAAACCGTTATGAGATGGTTAGAAGACATACATGACTATGAGTTTATTTACGATAAAATAGAGTATGAGAGAGGTCCCATAAACTGGAGAAAGTGTCACAATAAAGAAATTTTATTAGTAAGTAAATGTGGTTTGAAATAGTGTTCCGTACCGAAATGCATCACTAGAAAAAGTGACAAAAAGTGACACTTACTCTTATTTTGCGCGGCAATTTTTCTAAGTTATTTTGTTAAGCTAAATGTGTTATATATCAAATCAGCTTTATAAATATTATAGAAAAGTTTATTTTTATTTTTATTTTTAATTATATTTAAATTGATAAAAAAAATAATATTTAAATTAATTATAAAAATAAAATTGATTATATTGAAGTTTGAGTTTATAGGTATACAAATTTTAGAGGCATTTTGGCTGAGAACTATGGTCTGCGAGGTACATGGATAGAATCAGTACCTCGCAGACTATAGTTCTCTATATGGCGCCGAAAATTTTTGGTGAAATGTCGTCGCATTTTACCAAAAATTTTTCGGCGCCATAGGAAGAATTGGAGGGTGTGAGATACTATTACATGCTATAGTACTCACACCCTCCAATTCTTAGCCAAAACGGCTAAAAATTGCTCACAATTTCAACAATTGTGAGCAATTTTCAGCCATTTTGGCTGAGAACTATGGTCTGCGAGGTACATGGATAGAATCAGTACCTCGCAGACCATAGTTCTCTATATGGCGCCCAAAAAAAATTATGATTGTTTTTTATCAAATCTTATCCATATTATTCTATTAATGTTAATTATATTTTATCAATTATATTTTTTAAATAATAAACACAAAATCCACTAATTTAAAATTGGCGCCAAATGTCACTTTTGCTAGTGATGCATTTCGGTATGATATAATATGAAGATGAACCAATGCCTGAGAATGTTCAGCATATATACTCGTAAGAGATATATTTTTATCTTATAGTAAAATGCAAGGTGTAGATGCGCAAGGTCAACCAAATGTTGCACAACTTGGTGCACGTAACCCAGAGAATGTTCCAAACCAACAGAGAATACAAAATGCCATGGCAGATTATGGACAAGTACCATATAGTGTACAAATGGCAACTGCTATGTCAAATGACGCTGCTTTAGGTTTGCCACCTTGGTATGCAAATATGAAATGGAAAGAAATGTATACAAACCCTGAAGTCGGATATAAACAATATTATAGGTCTGTACAAAATCGAGAAAAACATTGCCGTGCGGTAATATAGGGTCAAAAAAATCGCGCCTCGGCGGCTCCGCCGCCTCGGCACTATTAAGTGCGTATTATATTTAATATGTCCTTCTTTTTTCTTTTTTTCTTCTTCTTTTCCTTTCCTTCTTTCTCTTCTTCCTCTTCTTTCCTTCTCCTTCTCTTTTTACAACAACGTCGAAGATCTTCGAATTTGATTGTTGGAAAAGCATCTATTTCAGATAAAGGATGCCTTTCTCACAGTCAACATACGAGGGTCCTGGCTGAAACGTTCTCAAAAAGCCTGAGATGGTAATTCTCTGATCACTCATAGCTGGGCAGGTAGTCATTGCTGACAATACCTGTCTTTATGCATGCACGCTTTCATGTATATGGGTTTACACTATCAATTCGCAAAGTTGTTCCGAATTCTTCCAAAATGGAAGGACCCGAAACAACTTTGCTTGTTAACGATACAGACGCATTACTTTGCATTGATACTGTGCTGAGTTGTGTAGAAAGTTTGATTAGAGTTGTTTTGTTCTGGTATCTCTCATCTTCTGATGAGAGAAATCAAAGCAACACAACTCTAATGAGTTTGTTTTCACTCATTTGTATGTAGGTTTTTAGTTTGATTGGAGCTGCTTCATAATGAGATCTCTCATCAATTGATGAGGGAGATCATAACAAAGCAGCTCTAATGTATATGCTCGTATTAACCGGGTTGTAATGCGTTGTAACGTCAGCTTGTAGTTCGTTTGGGGCCACTTCATATTGAGATGAGAAGAAATGATTAAAGGACTCTGAAAGGCTTTGGCCGTTGATGTTGTAATCGCATTACTTGGAACTAGCTGGATGTTAAGCTGTGTAGAATGTTCGATTAGAGCTGTTTTGAGATGATTTTTCTCATCATAAGATTGGAGGAATCATAGCAAAACAACTCTAATGGGTTTACCATCATCTACTTGTATGTAGATGTTTGGGAAATTGTCTTGTTAATCAATTTTCGAGATGACTTTCAAATGCTATCATCAAATGACAAACAAGTCTAAGATTTCTCGACAATACATCAAATCATGATGTTTGTAAGTGCGATGAGATTAGAGTTTTTGAAGGAATGACAAGAGAAGTAGGGAAGCTCGGCATTCGCCGAGCAAATTAAAAATTAACGTATGGATTAAATTTTAAGAGGAATTCAAATTTAATTACGGGTTGTTCAAATATTGATTAATATAAATTTATTAATAAGAATAAACAATTTTTGTTTTTGAATTTATTCAATTTATAGCTTTACATATAGTTTCAAAATTGTACAACTATGATTATTTCAACAAAAAATATCTTACTTTTTCACTTCACTTTCACCCTCACTTTTTCCGTAATTCAAATTTCAACATTATGTATTTTAATTCCTTATAGTATTTTTAACATAATTAATCAAATAATAATTGGAAGTTCTGAACTCACTTTTTCCGTAATTCAAAATCAAAAATATGAATAATATATCTATTTATTATATACTAATGCTATTTTCAACTAGAAGTGAGGTACGGTAATCTTACGGATTCCTGTAACTCAATTTTACGGAAAAAGTGCAGTAAACTACTCAATTTACGGGAAAAGTGTCGTAAACTATTGATGTGGCGGTAAAATCACGGTAATTCACGGAAAGCTATATGCGAAAATTTGAAATTATACAAAATCGAGCGAAGCACTTTTAAATAGGTTGTTCTCGTATTTAAAATACTATTCCCAGATTTATTGTCGTCAGAATATTTCCAAAATTTTGCCGATTTACAAAAAATGATTTACAAAGCATATTTTTTAATCTAAAAAATTCCTAAAAAAAGGAACCTGTGTGCAGAAACCTCGGTAAATTACCGCGGTTCCCGTTGGGACTGCCATACAATATTATGAAGATGCAGCAAATGGAAACTTAGACCCGGCATATTATTTCTACTAAGAAAGAAACAGATTGTATGAACTTCAGTTAAAGAACGCATTGGAACTTAGGAGAAGTCGTAGAAGAGTAGGAGGACATTAGTTTTTTACATATAGTAAATGGGTTTCTTCAGTAAGATAGGAAACTTCTTCAAAAAAGTTGGAAGAGGTATATGGAATGGCATAAAAGCTGTTGGAAGAGGAGTTTGGAACGGTATCAAAAATATTGGTAAAAGAGTAGGTCAGTTTGTTGGCATAATACCAAAAGACCCTGAACCTGAAGAACAGACTCCTGTAATACAACAGCCTGAACCAGCACCACAGTCTAGTTGGCAACCAACTCCAGGACCTGGTTGGACAGTAGCTTAGTCTTTAGTCGTTAAAGACTTGTAATAGTTGTAAATAAACGATAGCTCTAAATAAAAGTTATAATACAATGGAACGACTCTTTTTGTACCGTTAGTTGTAAACCATATTTGAAAGTCTGAAATACTTCCACTCGGAGGTTCATAGAACTTTGTCGGTTTCTCATAAAAGTCGTTTGCCATTGCTAAGAAACTATTTTTAGCTCCACTGAAAGTTGCATGAACGATAGTATTTTCGGGGTCAAAGACGTTGTCAAATTTTTGTTCTAAATCATAGTTTTGAAAGTTAAACCTATCTGGAATACTAGTCACATTTTGGTTTAACATTATGAGAAATAGTGCCCAAGAATATGTTTCAAACTGTGTAGTCAAAGAACCAGCACTTGTATTATTTTCGACTCTAATAAAATCGACATGCCCTGTTTTTCTGTCATATGTAACTTGTGCATAGTATGTTCCTTCGTTTAAATCCTTTTTAATACTAACCATCTGTCGGTATAAATTGTTTAAGTTAGATTCAAAGTCAATAAGAGTTTTTTCTAAACTACCACTTGTATCTAGTGAAATCATACGAGTGTAAGAGTTAGTTGAGCCAGAAATAGTTACATTAAACTTTACAACGAAACCAAAGTTTTGAGTTTGACGAAGAAATTTTATTCTTCTGAACCCAACCGCTTTTGTGACAGATGGGTCTCTCATCCATCGTAGAGGATATTCAAAACGATATCCTTCTGCTTGAACTAAGTCAACATCTGTTTTTTGGTATGTGTTTGTATAAAGCTCATCCAATGGTTTAGTTGTAGCAACTCTAGAATTTTCTTTTTCTATTGGTAGCATATTTTATCTAGAATAAAAATGTCGAAAGATACAGCGTCTATGAGAGAAATACAACACAACAAACAACTCATTATGCAAGCTTTAAATAAGAACACAACAAACTTTTCAAACTATTCTAAAATATCAGAGTCATTGAAAGGGGGTGACTTAAAACTGACAATAAACCCAATGACAGATGAGTTTCTGTTTCAAGACAATAAAAACAATACTGTTTGTATAAATCCAACAAAAGGAACTTTAAATGAGAAACCTATAAATGAACTTCTTTTGAAAGCAGATGTTGACAATAAAGCTGACAAAGAATATGTCATTTAAAAAGTTCAAGAAGAACATGACAGAGCAGAAGAAACATATGCAAAGAAAGAGGATGTTGAAAATAAAGCTGACAAAGAAACTGTAGATATATTGGCACAAACGGTTTCAAGTCATGACAGAGCTTTAATGGAAGATGGACAACAGTTGAAAGAGCTTGAGAAAGGTGTTACAGAGTTAAGGAATACAAAAGCAGACTTGACATGGATAACTGAATATGTAGATGCAACAAAAGAATATATTTTCGCATGGACAGAAGGAACATATCCACAAAACCAGCATACGCACAACATCTCTGACGTAAATGAACTTCAAGAAAAGTTAGATGACAAAGCTGACAAAGAAACTGTAGATATGTTGGCAGAAACGGTTTCAAGTCATACCAGAGGTTTAATGGAAGATAGTGTCCATTTGCAAAGACTTGACATAGATGTTTCAAATAAAGCCGACAAAAATCATACACATACAAGTTTTACAACTTTTACAGCAGATGATATTACACTAAACACAACCTTGCCAAGTAAAGCTCCAAAAATACCACCGGCAACAAGTCTTGTAGATACTTTGATATCTAATGACAATAGTATTATGCATCTAAGACAGGAACTCAATGTGCTTAAACAAATTTTGCCGAATCTTATTTACCCGGTTAGCTCATTATATGTTTCAATGAACTCTACAAATCCAAAAGTAGTACTTGGTTTTGGAACTTGGACTCAAATAGTTGACAGGTTTTTATATTGTTCAAACTCTTCAAAACAAACAGGTGGAAGCAAAACGATTTCAGGTGAAAATTTACCTGCACACAGTCATTATGTTAATATAAACACTGCTGAGTCTGGTTGGCATAGTCATAGATATTGGGATTAGTCAGGAATGACAAAAGGTAAAGGATATGATGTTAAAGAGAACGTTAAGTTTGCTATAAATTGTTACTGGGATAACACGCAGGGTTCAGGAAACCATTCACATAACGTTTCAGGATATACGCAAACAACGGGACAAAGTAAAGACTATATGCTATACCATACCGAAAAGGGTCGCTAGAAAAAGTGACTTTTGGCGCCAAAATTATTTATTTAAAAAAAAACTTATTTTTATTATTTAATCAATATTACACTATTACATATTATTTTTTTATATCAAATCCATACTATTTTTCAGAATGGAAGTTTTTGTAAACTTTTACAAAAATCAAATGGATCCATATCACTGGCATCGTACCTCCAGAAAATTAGTTGACATCGAATGGCTAAAGGAATCGGTTCAACAAATTAACTCTGGAATGAAGCTAAAGGATATTTGCAAAAAGGCCCGTTTAAATAATGGTACCTTTCGTGAAATATCCAAAACCATGTTCAAAAAGCTTGTCAGAGAAAATAATTTGGAATTAATTCCAAAAAGAGGAAGAAAACAAATAGAAATTAATCTTGATGCCTGCCAAGCTTATGCAAATTTGAAAGATTTAATGCCCGATGCAGGCATCAATAAAATTATTCAGAAAATGAAAACAGACCTTGTCAATATTGAGAAGAATCCAGAAGAATTTCAAAAAATTCAATCAGAAATTCAAAAAAATGGAGAAATAAATTATGAGTCTGGAAACTGGCTCGATGAAGTTGACCGCACAACTTTAGTTCCAGTTGTGACTCCAATAGAAGGTACGCCTATTGAAATAAATCCATTACGCGAATCTCTTCAAACGGCAACATACATTACAAAAAATTTCGATTCTCCCTCATATAGAATGGGCAGGAAAATACACGAAGCGATTATCGCAGATACTCCCCCTCAAAATCAAGAAAATCAGCAAAAATACATTCCTCGAAATTATCTAGCATCCAAATGTCATCAAATTTGGCATGCTGATATCCACTATTGGAGGAAACGAATAGGCAAATATTTGTTTGCGATAATAGACGACAGATCGCGAAAAATCATAGATTTTAATTTATTTACCGAAAAAACAGCTCAAAATACAACTGCAGTTCTTAAAAGAGCATTAAGTACTCTACCTCAACCACCATACGCTATTTGGACCGATAACGGCCTTGAAAATAAAAGCTCATTTCATCAACTTTTGGTTGAACGTGGAATTGAGCATATTTTCATTCAACCGGGCAATCCACAGGCAAATGGTAAGATTGAGAGATGGTGGCCATACGTGGAAAGAAACTGCAAGTCAGAATCAGATCTTCCACGGGTCATCAGATTTTACAATAATATGCCCCATTCTTCTTTGCCTGTGAATCCTGAAACGAACGTTTACTTTACGCCGAATGAATTCGAGGCCAGTGAAATTGATGATCACTGGTATCGAAATCCAGAACAAGAACCATTCTGGATAGTCGACGGTCAATTAAAAAACCTTAAGGAAAGCATTGACGAGTTCAGAAAATGAAAATCTCGAGCAAGTTCAATAAATTTTCAACAAATTCTCAAATCATTACGAATAAACACTTAATATTATCGTATTTACATCTTTTTAATACAACTATTTACTTACTGATGATTCATTGCAAATCGTAGATTTGGATGATAAGTTATAAAAAAGTTTCCGAGCTTACCGCTTAAAACAATAGCCTACATCATATCTACGAATACCTCGGTACTCCGAGGCTACATTTTTGCGCAGAAAGTTCAAAAAGTGACTTCGAATGCTAAGTTATCTAACAAAAGTTTCCGAGCTTACCGCTTAAAACAATAGCCTACATCATATCTACGAATACCTCGGTACTCCGAGGCTACATTTTTGCGCAGAAAGTTCAAAAAGTGACTTCGAATGCTAAGTTATCTAACAAAAGTTTCCGAGCTTACCGCTTAAAACGGGGTTGTGCTATGTGAGGTGAAAATCACCATACACCGATTGGACCTTTTTAAAAAAAGATATGGTGAGTATTTGATTTGTTCCTTGGTATTTTGCACGCAGATAGACTAGGGTAATGCCGATCATTTCGTGTAGGAATTACGTAAAAAAAAATTATGACCCAAGTTATTCACATTATAAAATTATATAAAGTGTGTCTAATTTCAATAATATTCATATGACCTTATAGTATGGTACCTATATAATAATAATACATATAGTTTATAGTAATATCTCAGTTTTTATAGTTTGATATCTTATTAATTATGATCAATATGTGTGTATTAGTGTATATTTTACATGGCGCATATAGACTTGTGTTAGACACACACATTTATATATATTAAAATGAAAAATACGCAGATAATAAGGATCTCAAGATGTGATGCCGAGCATCTGCTAGTTATTTGGGGGTGAGCAGCAGATGCTGGCATATATGTGTCATAGCAAGTGTATCTATGCTAATAGATTACACTTGCTATGACTTTCCCGGAATCTCAAGATGATTCCGGGAAAAACAGCAATAACCTCTCAAAATGTTCGTTTCAATATCATAAAGCTGAGAAATGGGCTTTGACCTTGAGAAAAGGCCCATTTCCCAGCTTTATGATGAATTTTAGTTATCATTGCGAGTGTCTGCTGCAAATCTCGGTTGAAGCAGCAGGCACTCACAACCGTATTCCACGGCAAGTGTATTTATGGTGTTGGAATGCACTTGCCGTGGCTTTTGTACAATCTCGTGATCTTACTGGAGTGAGCGGCATTATACTTCAAAACTCTTCTTTGGTACTTCTTTATCCAATCCAACAACTCAGAGTCTTTTATACATACTAACTTAGACTTCTTTATAATATCTTTGAACGAATTGACGGTTTGGTCAAATTGACCAGAAGTCGAACAAATAACAACTAACTCATAGAATGGGTTCTTCTCATCTAGTTCTTGTTGTTGTGCAGCCATTTTAAGATAAGTGAAAGTCTTACCCGACCCAGGTGGTGCAATTAGACCTGTTATACCATTCTGAGCAAATAAGAATTTTTCATGTATAGGCTTTATCTGAGCATTTTCTAACTTCCTCTTGTTCTTGTTTAAAACATTCTAAAATTTCTTGTCAATGTCAGCAAACTTTTTTTCTAACATATTTTTAGAAAAATTAAAATTTTTATCTTTTAGAAAATGTCTAGCGATTTCGCTATCTATATTCGAGACAAACTTTTTGACAGCAAAACATCTGTCGACCATAAAATCTTACATAGTGTAAACAAGAAAGGTGAATTTGTTCTAAAGTTCTGTTTCTGGGAATATGACAAGAACCATAAAACATTACAAAGAGCAGTCTTAAAATTTGTCAATGACAGACTTGTTGACAGAGATGACGCCGATTGGAAAGATGAAGTCCAACAAAAGTTCTTAGAATGCAAAGAAGACACATGCGCTGTTCTTGAAGATGAAATAGAAAACAGAATAGAAGAGCTTTTAAAGGACAAAGAACTTTTACATAGATATGGTTCTGAGAAATTTGACATATCTCCACCAGAGAAGAAGAAGAAAGAAAAGAAAGAGAAAAAAGTAGAAGAGAAGAAAGAACCTGAACCAGTTCCAGAGAAAAAGAAATTTGACATGTAAAAATAAAATTTTATTTTTAGAACATTTCTGGGTCAATGTCAATGTTCTCTTCCTCTTTAGGAGTAAACACTGGCTTAGACTCTAAAATCTTTTTACCCAACTTACCTTGAACTTCAACTATCTTAGACTCATAATATTCATAGTCGTCTGCTTTCTTTGGTTCATAAGGTATAACAAGTTTGTATGCTTTACCTTCTTCGAGTTTTGAGAACTTTCTGTCAAAATTTTCTTTGACTGTCAACATACCGTCAATGTATAAGTCTTCAAAAGTTGCACCACTTTTTCTAACAACAGCAAACTTAACTGGTGCAATGTTCCAAATTTTGTCAAATGTAGACTTTTCAAAATTGTAGAAGTAAACATTCAAATATGCGAATGGAGCTAACTTATCTTTGACTTCTGTCATGTACTTATTTACTGAGATGAATTTTGCCATCTTTTTTTATCGGATAAAAAAATATTTTTTTTAAAAATTTACTCAGAAAAAATTTTCTTTGTATATACACCATTCTGAACATCTAAAAGACTTTTGACATTTGCCAAGAATGTACGTTTAGAAGCTGCCATATAACCATATTCTTGACAATATTGTTTATATTCATCATATAAAGACCTTTCATCTAAACACTCAAAGTCAGTTTCATCTATGAACAGTTCATATACACTCTTGTTTGCTTCTAACAATGTTTGTCTCTCTTCGGTATGTGGAATTTGTCTTGGATTGAAGTTAGAAATATCTAATGTCATAAAGTATGAGAACAAATGGTTGTAAAACTCTGGTGTCAAAGTTTCTGCTAAGTCGTCAAAATATTCTGTATCTTGCATATGAGAATCTGACGTTCTGACAACTACATATCTTCTGTCAGAACTTTCTAACTTCATCGGAACAGCATTGTTTGAAACCATTATGAAGTTTGCAACATTCTCACAAACTCTTGAGTCTTTATACTTTCTTTCAACAACTCCAACTTTGTCTGTTATAAGACTCTTCAAAGCATCTGAGTTCAAAACTTTTGTTGTATCTATACTTTGAAGTTCATTGCAAACTATAAGTTTCATATTCTCAATTGAAGAGTTAAATTTACCACAAATGTTTTCTAAGTTTGTCATATTCGGATTCGAATAGCCCTCTAATAGTTTGCACAAAATATCTGTAAAGAATGTGTTCTTACCTGTTCCTTGTTTTCCAATTATAATGAGAGCAGTTTCATTCTTAGCACTTGGATGTTGTAAGATGTTTGCAAACCAACATAAGATATACTCATAAACTTTTTCGTTTCCATTGCATATAATTTCTTTGACATGGTCTAACCAAGCTTCTATAATATTTTCTTTCCATTCTACTTGTTCGTATTTATATCCAGTGAAGATAGAATAGAAGTTTGGAGATGGTGTATAGAACTTTATACCTCGAACTGAAAAATCTTCTAACTTTGACAATAAGATATCCCAAGCATCTAACATTTTCATACCAACTTGTACGACTTTTATTTTCTTAAGTTTCTGTCTACATTCTTGCTCAGACACTATTGTTGCTCTTGGTTTGTTAAATACAACATCCCATTCTTTCATAACATAACATTCTGGGGCAGAGTCGACATAAATGACTAAACGTTTCAAATTCTCGACTGCTTTGTTATAGTCTCGAAATGGACACATATTTCTGAATGCTTGGAAGTCATAAAAATCTGAAACATCTATTCTGTACATTTTTATAAAAATAAAAAAAATATTATTTTTTTATTCTTGACTTTGTTGTTCCATTTGTTGCATTTGTTGTTCTTGAGCTATTTGTTGTTGAAGTTGTTCTTGTAATACAATACTTTCACCAGTTGCATCTTCCAATTCGAAACTTTCTGCCGTCATTGACAAATACATAGGACATAAAAGTTTTACAGGAACAAATTTTGCGTCAACTAATGTCAACGTTATACTTGCCAAAGTGTTTGAGTTCACTAAGGTTGAAAATTCTGCATTCGAATGAACAATAGGCAAACCAGCAGAGAAAGTATTGTTTATACGCATAAGTATCTTTTGGTCATAATAGTTTCTGTCGACATTCGAATAACACTTTGAACCTAAGTTTGAAACAATATATAAGATTGGTGTGCTTAATGTCAATGGAATAGACATTCCTTGTATGACACCTTTTCCTGTTATAGGAAACTGTTGGTAGTAAAAACTAGATATAAGTTTTGTATTATAGCTCATATCATTAATAGTAAACTCAGTCGGACATCCAAACATAATGAAACCTGCTCTAGTTGCAGCACATGTTACACCCGTACTTAAAGTATTAAATAAGTCAACAAAACCTGTTGGTGGTATACCTGAGTAAGTATCTTCAAAGGAGTATTTTTTACCATTCACAACAATAAAGTCTTCTGGTGTCAAAAGAGCAAAACAGGCTTTAGTCGTCATTGTGTTTAAGGTTAGTTTACAATATCGTCCTTGAGGACTTTGTAAGTTTGTTGTTATAGAATTATATGACTCAGGGTTTTTAGTCGTAATAGTATAAACCATTATGTCTTCTGCCATTTACTTAGCAAATAAATTTTAATGAAATGTTGTGGTCGTCAAATATTTTTATAACGTCTGGGAAACTATATTTTAAGTTCAACGTTTCACCTCCTTTCATAACGTATATCTTGTCAATGACATTATATGAAACACCACAACAACCAATGTCGGGTTCTATTTCTTTGATGTTTATATCGTCTGCCTCTGTCAAAAGTTTCAATAGTTCTTTCAAAACTTCATGAGGTGCAATGACATATGAGTTCACTTTTACAGGGTTGTGTTCGACCAAGTTTAACATTATACTTAAAGCTTGACAAATCTTCTCCTGAGTTTGAAGTTTGTCTTTCAGTTGTTGGTAGTCGTTTCGAATATCTGCAACAGAACTTAAGTCTCTGTTAACTTCAGGATATGTTGGTTCTTTTACAGGAACAATTGTTATACCATCTTCGTCTTCGTATGGTTTCCCCACTTCAACATCTCTGTCTTTGACATTGACAATAACACTTTGACTGTTTGTTTGAGTTGGTGAATTTAACTTCACATCTGCCACCGTCATTAAACCTTTTGAAACACTTACGCTTCTATTTTTCGGAAATGACATTTTACTTAGAATAAAAAGATGGACGTATTCGGATATCTTATTGAATTGAAGCAGAACAAAGTTTATACTCACAAACAATACAAATACATTGACAGAATAGTTCTTTACACAAACAATGGAAAATGTTATAGAATAGCAGTCTTTGCTGAACCTAAATATTTTCATAAAGCAAAGAAAGTTGGCATAACCGAAATGGTGAAAGTTCTTGACTTTGACAAAAATATAACAACAAAACTAACCGATATTACTAAAGGAAAGTTTATAATACAATATTATGTCAAAACAGGTGTCATAACTATTTACGATGGTGAGAAAAGTGTCAAAGAACAACTTACTGACCTGCTGCCAAAATCTGCTCAATGGAAGCTGTCGTTATGCCAATCTGAGGAGCCCCAGCAGGTTTCATCGAACGAATCTTCAAAAGAGCATCTTCAGTGAAGAGTGCTAATGGTTTATAAAATGTTTTCTTTTTGAACTCATCTGGACCAACTCTGTCACCAGTAAACTGAATCTGAACAGTACCAACAGTTGAAATACCACCCATGAAATCTTCTGAGTCAGCAAATGGAATACCAATCCAAAAGTTTGAACGGTCTCCATTTGTATATGGTCCATACTGTTGTATACGGCTGGATAGAACTTTGCATTTCAGGGTTAATAGTTGTTGTGAAGTTGTTGTTAAAGTTCATTGCATCTAATGTTAAGTTGTAAGACCTCATATCTTCAACACTATCGTAAACTTCTCTTGGATAATACTTGCCGTCAATATTGACATGGTATTGTATACCTGGGTTATAGAAACAAGAATAGTCATTTAAGTCTCTTCTGAATAATATGAACATTGTGTCGGCATGTTTCATTGCAGTTGTCAAAGCTGTATCTGTTCTTGGATTTGTTCCATTTTGACCACCAACTCTTTCTGCAAAATCTTTGACAGAAATTTGGTGGATAGGGAACATAAGTGGAACTGCAATATATTTCGAAGCCAAAGCATTTGAAACATCTGGGTCTAACATATATACAGCACATCTACTTTCAATTCTAACAACATTCATTTCAGTGCATGTAAACTTGACTGGGTCAAATTCAGTCTTTAAACTTCCAGAAGTACCTGTAACTGAAACATAGTAGTTTAATGGGACATTAAGATTTGAGAAACCCCAGTCTAAACCTTCTTTGTCCTTACACCAATTTCCAAATTTAGGTTTGTCAGAACCAACACCACATTCTGTAGTATTAAGAAATGGGTCTTCTGTTGGTGCAATGACTAAGTTATTTTTGCTTGGAGTAAGTTCAATAGAAACTTTACCTGCCCAGTTTGGTAAGTATCTTAAGAACCTGAAGATAAGGAAAGATGACAATGGGACTCTAAGTTTTAGTTTTATTTGCACTTCAGCGCCAGTACTTTTTGAAAGGTCAATATAAACTCCTGGAACATTAGGGTCAAGCCTTCTTATCTTTTCAATAGTAGCATACTGGTCTGTTTGTTCTCTAGCTTGTGGTTGTACTGAGTTTCTCAAAGCGAACCATTCATAGTTTGCCCATGTTACAGTTTGAACTAAGTCAGAGTTAGAATATATCTTATATCCCATGAAAACTTCTGGTGCATATTGGTATCCAATATAGTAAATACCATTGCAACCTTTCTTGGAAGTTAAGTCAGCTGAAGGTTTTATTTTTAAGTCTTGTTCGACATACAAGAATGAGTTATCTAAAGATATAATATGAAATCTGTCACATGCAATGTCAACTGTTGTAGAAGAACCTTCAGCAAACTCTCCTACATTTCCGTATGAAACTGCTGTTGTATATTCATAAGTACCAGGAACAATTTCTGACCTTCTTATGGCATTGTCGCATTCGTTATACCATTCTGAGACATTTCCGTTCATGGCATCCAAAACTGTTGGCGTAATATTCTGAGCGGCGTACATTTAAGTGGGATAAAAATATCGAAACACTTTATCTTTTCACCCATCTTCCATCTGGACCAACTACATATCCTTTCTTATACATTTTTGCTGCTTGTTGTTCGCTTCTAAACTCTTGCATACGATATTTTTCTAAAAGCTTTTCATCTGCCATTTGAGACTTCAATCGGTCTCTTCTTTCTCTGGCTTCTTGCATTTGTTTTCTACCTTCATGCTTCCATGCTCGTTCTGACTCTCTCTCCCATTGTTTGTTCTCTCGCTCTTGTCTTCTTTCAAATTCTTCTTGTTGTTGATATGTGTATTTGCCTTGCTGAGCCGCTATCTTATAATATTTGTCGCGATATTCCTCTAGAGTTCTATCTATGCTTTGGTTTGGTCTCAATTCTTCTAAGGCGTCTCTCAATTGGTTCACAATCCGTGGAGCATAAAAAGTTACAAAATCTGGGTTTCCCATCGGTTGCAACATTAGTTTAAGTTCCTCATCGGTGTAACTTTTCCCAGAATATGTTATGTCCAAGTTTATATCTCTAAAGAAATCGTTAAATTCTTTCGGTGAAAGCTCTTTCCTCATTTTTGCTATCATTTGTTTAACGTAAGAAATCTCATAATTATTGCCAAGGAAATCCGTCATGATTTCATTTTCTGAATATCCATATCTCTTTCTTTTTCTCATAATTCCACCAATAATTGTTGTTGCCTCTGGAATAATATCTAAAAACCGGTCCACAGCTGGGTCTTCAACTATGTCTGCTTGCTTTAGGTTTCTTCTCTTATTTTCATGCTGGTCATAAGCATAGAAATCATCGTCAGGTACATAGTCTATGAGAACATGGCGTAAATTTAGCTTCTTTGCTGCTTGTCTTATTCTTATGTTAACATAGTCCATGAGAGACATATTCTTTCTATTTACATGAGCTAAATAGTCTTCTCTCTCTTCGTCTGTGATATGACGACTTGCCATTCCTGACAAGTTTGTTCTTTTGTCTATACTTTCTAGGACATAGTTCAAATCCCCTGTTTTATCCACAATATTTTCTTCCTGCCTTGTGAGTACCGTCGGATTATTGCCTGAATAAAAATTGAGGAAGTTTGTTACATAATCTGCCAAACGGTTTCTTTTATTCATCCATCCTTCGCTATACATTTGTTCCTTTGTTAGTTCGTTTGTCAACTTATCTAGTGCTTTTTCGTTTGTGGTACCAATTTTCACCATGGCAGTGTTTGTAAAATCCATTGAACCTTCATTATTGTGTCTTATAAAACCAAAGAAACGTTTTCCATTTGACCAAAGTTTCAAATCGGAACGAGGGTTGCCTTTCTCATCGTAATATATAAAGTTTTTAGCTGCAACATTTTTTCAACTGATTTTACGTTTCGCCATTTCTTTATGTTACCATCCAAATCTTGTTTTTGAACAAAACCAGTGTCAATTGGCAACAAGTCATTCCTGAATACCATATTTGCTACAAATGTTTCATCGGACTCACTGTTAGGACTGTATATATTCATATAGTCCTCGAATTCAGTAGAAACTGGGAGCCTCTCCTCAGTTGGATGTTCAAAAACTGTACGAATGAAAGGTTCTTTCATATGATTTAATGTTTCTGAGTCATCTAGGGGTTTGATTTCATGCTCTTGGTCTTCTTCATTCTCGTTTACTTCTTCTTTTTTTTAACTTGCTGTTGTTGAGGTTGTTGTGGTTGTTGAGGTTGTGGTACATTATAAGGCATTCGCATTAGTTCTTGTGGACTGAACTCTTTCTTTGGAGCTTGTTGTTGAACTTGTTGTTGTTGAGGTTGTTGTGGTTGTTGTTGCTGAGGTGGAGCTTGTTGTTGTTCAGGCTCTTTAAATAGTTCTGCTAGAGCGTTCTCTTGCTTTGGAGGTTGTTGCTGACGTGGAGGTTGTTCTGATAGTGTAGGGCTTGAATAAGGCGGTATAAATACTCCTCTAGCGGAGCCTGTTGTTTTGGAGATAGTCTATGCCCTTGAGAAGTTGTTCCTATTCTTCCACCTTCTGCTGCTAAATCTTGCATTGACTTTAAATCTACAAAACTGTTGTCTGCGAGGGCATTATAAATATCATCTATACCTATTGCAAGTCCTTGTCCATCTCTTGTTGTATTTCCAATGTTGTTCATTGCATTTACTATATCGCTAAAGCCCTTTTGTATCTCACTTGACAAAGACTGTGAAGTTGTATTAGCAGCCGTTGTAAGTGTTGTCACTGCTTGATTTAATATTTGAAGGTCGTCATTCATCTCATCTTGCAATCCAGGAACATTCCTAAATCTAAGACCAAGTGCTCTTGTCAAGTCTGACAAAGCCTTTGCATTTTCGTTATTTGTCTTTGCTGCATTTAGTATTGTCTTGTAATTTTCTAAAGTAGTCTTTAACTCATTCGCATTATTTTCTGCTACCAAACTTGCTTTGCTTCTGTTTGCTTCAACTGCAAGTTTGTTATTTTCTTCAGCAAGGTCCGTCATTATCTTGAGTGCCTTTGTTTTAGTCATTAAATCTATGTTCTTAGCTGTTAGATTGTTTATATATGGTTTTGCTCTTGCTTGTCTTGTCGCTATTAACTCCTGTGCTGCTGTTGCTGCAGATGCTTCTGCATCTGTACGTTTCTTTATTTCTTCAGCCATTATTTCATTATATTTATGTTGAAGTGTTAACATTTTATAGTTATCTGAATTACGAACATCTCTTTGCTGTTCTGTACGTTCTACTTCATTCAGATATTTTATTGCAGATTCGTTTTCTTGTTTTACCAATTCTGTTAGCATTTTATTTTCTTCTACGCTGGCAACTAAATTTTTATAGTCGTCCTGCTTCCTAACATCCTGGTTTGCTGTAAGTTGTGCGTTAAGTTCATTTCTCTCTTCTATAGCTTTTTGTTTTTCTAAATGAAGTTTCATTAGTGTATTGTTCTTTGCTGCTATCAAAGCATTTTGGTATATTTTCTTTTTAATTTCATCGTCTTTATTTATTTCTCTTTCGAATCGTTCTTGTAACCTCAACTCCTTTTGCTCCTTTAACAATTCGTTACTTCTTTCTCTTAGGTCATTTTTATATTGTTTCTTCTTATTTTTTAGCTCCAATTTTGAAATCTCATCCTGTCCATCTTTTGTTTCTAAAGCCTTTTTCTCATTTTCGATATCTATCTTTCTTCTTTCTTGTTTCTTCAGTTCTTCTTCTGCTTCATGTTTACGTTTCCAATTGTCTTGCTTTTGAAGTTGTTTCAAAGCTTCGTCGTTTGCTGACTTTATTCAATATTCATTTTCCACAAACTTCTGGTCAGTTCATTTTTGTCTAATGGCATTCGCTAGCGTGTTCGCTCCAAATTCACCTGAAGAAATTGCTTGCAGACTTTCAGCACCCACAGGTTTAGAGCCTCAATATCAAACTGCAGCATCTACACATTCTCCAAGCAGAACAGACAATTCAAATTCAAATTTGTCCTGCAATTCGCTCAATCCAAAGCCACTTTCACTACCAAAAACAATACCAAACGAGCTCCGTATTACAAAGAACCACAGCAACGCTGAACTACGCAAAATACTACTCAGATTGTCTGAAGAATACTTCAATTCAAAGCCAGAAGAAAGAGTTGCTGCAACTTTTAACAAAGAATATTGTGAACAACTCAACAAAGTTCTTGCAGACTTTACCAAACTACAAAAAGAAACACCTGACCCATTCGAATTAGGTGACACAATTGTCAACTATTTTCCAACAATAACAAAGATAATGGTTGACAGAACTATATGTCAGCTTATTGAAAGTCTTCCACCCAAAGCTGCAAAAAAAGTCGAATAGTTTTGGGTCGAATTCAAATTAAAGAGTTACGGATATCAGGATGACGAAGAAGAACGTGAGTACGGACAAGAAACAGCAAAATGGCAATGTCTTAGCTCACTCAACCCCAAGTTCAAACCATTATTTTACTCAGACAACAACACAATTCAAGTACGCAAAATTGCTATTCATTTCGTTAACCAAGCAGAAGACATTGAAGACGGAGACTCTATCTCAGTTTATGTTTGCTACTGCAAGTTTTTCAAGGACGAATTTGGAGGACCAATTCTCATGCATGTCTTCAAGCCACATCAGCAACTCTACGTTGAAACTGAAATAACACTCATGCATGGAATGTATCTCAAGTTTGAAAGCCAATTGGAAAACACATACAACATTTGGCTTTCATACATTCAGTTCGATACACCAGATGACTTTGATGTTGAAGAAGAAGACTCTGCTCAAGAAGATGAACCACAAGACGCACCTGATGATGACGAATTTGTACCCGAAGAAGAAGAAGAATATCATTCAAGAACACCATCAGAAAACGACCAACAAATGGCAGATGCAATGGACAGTCAAGTTCCATGAAACTAAACATCTAATTTTATCTCAATTCCAACTTTTTTTAAAAAAAGATGGCGGGGTCAGTCACCCCCAGGTCACGAGGAAAAAAATCCTCAACCAGAGGGCAGCCAGAGCGCGCAGCGCGGAGGGTGGTCATTTTTTTGTTTCATGTGTATATATAAAAATAATAACATTTTTAAAATTTTATTCTTCGATCAACATAAATAATTTTGTGACGACTTTTGATAAGATAAATAAAATTGAGAGGTGAAGGAAAGTAATTGAATTAATTATATGTGTTATGATGTTATGGCTTCTAACACCTTTGTTTCGAATATAGGAAAGAGTATGTTGTAAATTTTCTCAACAAAAAAATTGGCGTTTTTCCTATAAATATATAACAAGAAATCATATTCCTTTAACTTTTACCGATTAAAGTTACTTAACAACACTGTTTTTAGAATTCAAAATCTTAAAAGCAAAAATTATAGCTTATTCTAGGTTCATTTAGATTTGCATTGCATGATATGATTCATGTTTACATGCATTTTGTAAACATGAATGGAAAAATTTATAAATATTTTGGAAATATTGAACTTTATAGTTCTTTACACCTTAAACGAACATGCATATTAAATATTTTTGATTATCATTACTGATATTTTATTGAATAACATTTTTAAAATTGCAAATATTTTGGCTCCTAACATTTGAATTTTTCTTGGCAAGAAAACCATATGCTTATAATCAATTAGATATACGTTTAATTAGCTGCGTATTGAAAAAAATCCGCTTCGTATTAGATTTTTTAGCGAATCGAAGAATAGATGATAGATTTCTCCTTGAGGAACTTTGCTTGATTATCACAAATATAGAGCATTGTAAAAGAGCACCTAAAACTATAAGAGTTCAATAACATATTTTTGCTATTCTTTTTTATTAATAAAATCTATTGGGATCGCTCATTCAGTAAAGTTTTTGTTTATGTGTTATATCTAATGCTTCCTTTTTAACCTCTTTGTATACTCTTTTGTTGAATGAATCTTATACCACATTTTTTTTATAATCATTATTGGAAAGTGCCGGCTGAGAATGATAATAAAACGATTACACATATTTATCCAAGTTTTTGAGAGTAATTTTCGTAATAAAATATTAAATATCTAATGCTTCATTCACCCGAGTTAGGATAGGACTATTTTATATATGCTGATTCAGTACATATTCAATATTTCAAAATAATAAAGAATTTGCCAAAATATTTATCTCACACTTTGCACACAATAGATCCTGATTTTTACATCATTATCGCAGAAAATGACTATAATAAATGTTAAATTGAACTCTGATTTATATTAAATTAAAAAGATATAAATATCTAATTTTTAACTTGTTCTTCATTTTATTTCTTTCTTCAAGTTTGGATTTCTTCTTTATTTTCGTTGTTCTATTGTCTTCAAGTGAGTTTGAATCAAACATCATATTTGATTAATTATTTTACCTTCTCTAATCTATCTAGTTTATTCACATGCATATCTTCCATTTTCTGAGCACTAAACTACTTGTACACTAAGAGGTGTCTGTTTCTTCAATCTTTTCAAAAGTAGAATCTTTTGTAATCTTAGTATGAAAAGGTTTTTTCTGAGGCCATAAAAATGGCCATCTAGTATGCCATGATAAAAAGGTATTTCAATAATATTTTTTATCTTCTAATGCAAAATACCTTTGTTTGTAATTTTCGTAACTCAGGTTGGAGAGGATGTTCATCATCCATATCATCTGTTCGCTCGAAGATATGAATGGCAACATAATTATATTCATTAAGTCTTATAACTAGAGATTTGAAATTAAGCTAGAAAGTATGTCTAAATTTTCGAATGGAATGATTGAATAGGGATTAAACTAAAATGTTGAAATAGAATTGAAACGAGTAGGCATTAATAAAGAAAAAATGCGGACATCAAAGGCTATAGAAAATCCCTATTCAATTCAAGTCATGAAATCCCTAGTTTTTTCTTAAAAATATAGCTGATTCTATTATGAAAATAATCTCAATTGAAAAGTTGGTCTCACAAAAATATTTCTTCTCAAATCTAATTCACTTTTGAATAAGTTATATTTTATGTGCATGTTATTATGCAATGTTTTATAGTGCTCAATAAAAGTCGACCACGTCACTTTTTGGTGATTTATGGTTAAGGGTGCACACGAGAGGATCATGTAAACTTCAGAATTTAGAACCTTATTTTTAGGCATTATCTTGGCTACCTATTTAGGCTCGAAAAGCAAAAAATATCAAAAAATACAACTTGACTCCATTATGACCCTTTCATTGAGGTAGTTTTTATCCGCTAGTATTTTCCCTTTGAATCTCTTTACAATTCGAAATCAAATTCAAACCTCAGTAGAAGAAAGGAAGAATCGACTTACTACGGTTGTAATACGAATAAATACATATATTTAATTATTTTTATTTACATAATAATTGTTTGAAGCTCATATTCCATCAAATTTTTAAATAAAAACATTAAAATGTTGAAAATGTTCATATATTTTAATAGGGTTTTGGCACTTTATTGAGGAATTACTACATACATAGTCGAACTGAACTTGATATTTTGAAATTTAAATTATTTATCAAAATTAAAATTTAACTTGAAATTTATAATTATTTAGTCATATTTTGCATAATTCTAAGTAGATTTTGTAAAAAATCAAGAAAGAAAAATTTTAACGTGCTTTATTTTTTCTTTTTTATAATAATACATATTATTATATAATTAACATATTCATAATGTTTCACCCTTTCAAAAATATAATCCTCCTCCTCTCAAATAAACGTACATACGGGTGGCCTCTTTTTTCAAAAAATTAAAATTTGAAATTTTGGGCTCAAATATTAGAGATTTTTTCAACCTTCAACGATATATGTTGTCTATATCAGACCTCCTTTCTTTTTGATACTTAACATTGTTCCTAAATCTTAGCCGTTAAGGCTGTTCTGAAAATATTTTTTTTCGAAAAAATTCGAAAAAAATTCTTAAAATTCAAAAATCCCTTAATTCCTGAGGATTTTGGAAAAAAGTTTTTACATGAACATGTGTATATTATATGAAGTATATTGATAAGGTAAAAATCAAATTTTATTGCATATTCATCGAGTATAGATCCGTATTTTTCCCAACTGAGCGGGGTATCTCCAATCCCAGCCCTATCGTCCTCCCAGTGTCAGTTTTCAATATAAAATCCAAATTTTTTTTGAAAATAAAAATTTCGAGAAATTTTTCTGATTTTTTTTCTTTGATTTCAATAATTCAAAATAAATTTGGGAGTAAAAAGACACTATTTAATGAAATTCATATGAGTGAATGTGGATAAATACTCTCAAAACATACAATTTATCTATTTTTTCTTTATATTATCAACTAATTAGTGATAATTTTTTTTGAATCAGATTTTTTTTCATTAAAAACATAATATATAACACAACAATGATGCACACATACGTATCTACACATCAAAATATAAAGCTTGTTTTGGTCTGGGCATCCCAACCCAAAATTCTTTAAAAATTGAATAAAATTGAATACTTGGGGCTGGGATACCCATCCCAAAACCGAATTGAATTTTTTGAATTAAAGAATATATTTATGTATTTATAATATACATGTGATGTCTATAAAAAATACTAAATTCTAAAAAAAATTCAATTTATTCAAAACGTACATTAAGTGATCACTTCATTAGTAGGATCAGCAATCCTACTAAATGGTGAGAACGCCACTAACTAAAAAGGGAGTCCTTGGAGCTCTTGATCTCTTGTCAGTAGAGTTCATAATGAGGCATGGCATCTACTGATTAGAGATCAGAGCAATCCTACCTTACCTTCAGGAGCTCCAAAGCTCCTAATCGTTACGAGAGGGAGCCTTGGAGCTCCTGAAGCTCATCAGCAGAGGCTATTTACCATTTGGGCCTCTTCTGATGAAAGATGCGAAACACGTCTACGAACCAGGAGCTTCAAAGCTTCTAATCCTTACTAAAGGGAGCTTTGGAGCTCCTGAGTCTCCATCAACTGAGTCCCAGATGGTAAATGTCCTTTGCTGATGAAAGATGCGAAACACATCTACGAACCAGGAGCTCCAAAGCTCCTAATCCTTACGAAAGGGAGCTTTGGAGCTCCTGAAACTCCTTTTACTATAAAATAGGACAGTTTTCTTCTGAGGTTCTCATCAAATCTAAGACTTCAGAAGAAAGCTGTCCTATCAATGTATACTTACACTCTCATGGACTACAAGTGTACAATTTTAAGGCAGAGATTATCCGAGGCCTCTCATCAAATGAGGGACCTCGGATAATCTCTACCTTAAGTAGTCAAATAACTTTTCTCACTATTTAGGAACAAAAGAACAAGAGTTGGAGTACTTTAAGGCAAGATTCTTCCGAAATCTCTCATCGAATGAGAGACTTCGGAAGGACCTTGCCAAATCCTTGAACGCCAATATCCTTGGAACTGAGCTAGAACCAGGGAGAAGTAGCATACTATAGAGCACGATGGTAATCTCGGAAATGCTTATATCGCCCCAAGCACAATATTTAAGAAGTCTAACTCATATATACAAGAAGTCAGGCTGAATAGATATTGTGCATATGGTTTGCAGAACTCTCATGATATTTAAAATTCATGTTATCCCAAAAAGGTGACACTTTGGGTGTATCGTCCATCCCAGGGATGCAAAAATCACATCACCTTGGATCTATATTCATCGAGAAAATAAACTAACGAATCCCTCAAAATTGAGAGGGTAATCCTCCTCCTCTCAAATAAACGTATATACGGGTGCACCCTTAACCGCTGTCAGAATTTAAACAGTTGAGACAAAAAAAAATATTCAGATAATAATATCACATTATTAATGTACTGTGTGTTTATTCCCGTGATTAAATTTTATCAATTTTTTTTTCACATAAAATGATTTAACCGATTGATACTTGTGATGTATATGCATTTTTATATCTTTTGTAAAAAATAACCAAATGGGTTTGGCATCATAAAATTTTATTTATTTTTACAAAGACAGATAAACATGCATGTTTTACCAATGATCAGACAGCATTTCCCAGAGCCAATTATTCCTAATTACCCAGTAAGCAAGAGCACAAGCAGCAGTATTAATTATGAGAACCAAAGTCAGAAATCTTCTTATCTTTTAACGTATTATCAAAATACATCATTAGAAAGTGCATTTCCGTCAGCCTTATCCAATGGTACATGGACTCCTGAAGAAGATCAGAAAGTAATTGACTGGGTTAAGGAGCATGGTCCTACAAATTGGACAAAACTGGCCGAACTTATTCCGGGCAGAGCCGGAAAGCAATGCCGTGAGCGCTGGCATAATAATCTCGATCCACATCTTGTCAAATCGTCATGGACTCCTGAAGAAGATAGAATCATCATCCAACTTCAGAAGGAGCTAGGAAACAAATGGGCCAAAATTGCAGAGCATCTTCCAGGTCGTACAGATAATGCAGTTAAGAACCGCTGGAACTCTGCCTTGAAGAGAAGATTAGCCCCTGACTATGTCAAAGGAAAAGTACATAAACCAGCACCTCAGCCGCAACCAGCTAAGGCTGATCCACTCAAGATCATGATGCTCAATCCAATTGCAGACTTATCAGTCATTTCATTTAATCAACAAAACCAGAACTCATCTCCAATTGAGTGTATCGACGTTTCCGACGAACCTTTCTTGGGCTTTGATGAGCCGATTTCTACAAACTTGGATCTTAATGAAAGCTCCACGGATATTTACGACTTTCAGTTGGATTTATAAGATGCAGTGGTTTGCATAGTATAATCCGATCCAAATATCCAAAGTTTGTTTGTAATGTAAAATACAATTTTTATATTTATGATAAAACACTATAGATAATGTAATAATTTTTAAAACAGTTTTTATTCCCTTCTTAAGAATCTAATTCTCCCTTAATGAAGTCAAAAACATTTTACGCCATCTCGGAAGAAAGGTGTTTTGCTTGACAAGATATTTAAATTGTATTAGTTACAAAAACAAAAATTTTGTATATTTCATGATCTGAAACGTAAAATTGATCGAAAACTCGAAAAAATACAGTTGTCAGGATGCCAAAAAAAGAAAATTAAAGTGACTTCTATTAAAAACATTTTACAAACAAATAAAATAAAGCAAAAAATTAATATAAATCAAAAGTAATTTCATCGGCAACTCCCTTTTGAAGCAAAAACTCACTTACAATGTTATTTATCGATTCCATTGTAGGTAAGAAGTCGATTTTGTCGTAATTTTGGTATATTTCTTCATTTTCTTTTTCAGATTCTTCTTCTTCGTGGATTTCTACTTCTTCCTGTTCCGGAACCAGCTTAGAAGCGGTAGAAGACTGATTATTATCCTGAAGAACCTCTTCTAGCGTTGAAGAAACCTTCGAAATGAACTCTGCGTTGAGATCCAGATGAATTTTCTCTGAATCAGGAGATTTTTCATCGGAAATGTCGAACGCGTTGTAAATAGCTTCGGACCATTTGGTGTAAGGATCAACTTCTATGCGTCTACAGAAGTTTGCGACCTCTTCTGTCGCATTTGTCTGTAATAAGCTCTGAACGAACGGGAATATCGGTGGGAAAGAGTCAATTGTATCGAATTTGACCCTGAATATCTCACTGCCTGTCCCGTAATTCGTATGCAAACGAAGATTCACGTGTTGTTGGATTAATACGAAACTTGTGTCCTTACTGTTCATTGTAATGAGCTCTGATGATGGGGTTCCTCGTAATAGGAAGTCGAGTTGTTCGGCGTTACCTGAGGAAAGAGCACTTTTCAGATATGGCATCTGATACGTGTTATTTCCGCATGATTGGTTGAGAGTCGCCTGTCTGGTAAGTGGCAGTAACGCTCTGAAGACGTCTTTTGTGGGACAATAAGCTAATATCGCGGTTGCTAAGTCAAATATCGAATTCATCGAAATTGCATCGGCCAAAGGTATGAAGAATGTCAATACCTCAGCGCAGAGCTTGAAGAAACTGTCGCCAAACGATTGCGAAAGTACTTGCATGAGCTCATTTGAAAAAACATGTGGCGTGTCACTTTTTCCAGATAAAGCCGAATTAATCATTTTTGTAATGTGCTGATTAGCAATTAAGCCCATCAAAATTTGAGTGCACTCATAGAATTCTGATATCGGACAAAGATGAGTAATCATATCTGGGGAAGCGACAGAGAGCCAGAACAGAGGTAAGAGGGGTATCAAGTAGACACTGAAATCTTGGTTTTTGCTCAATATGTCGCATGGCAACTTCAAAACTTTCACTGCAAATTTGAAAATAATCGAAGAATCCTTGCACGTCTTAATTACGTCGATGAAAATGTCCTTGGTGTCCTTCAGATCTTGTCTGATGTCTTTGTCAAGGGCAAACAAAGAGATATCCCCTGAATCAATCAAAGTCATCAACAGTTTCAAATTGTCAACGACAATGTTCTGTAGGATTATGCCAGATACGTTCAAAAGTGAGATCGCCGTCTGGAAAATCTCTGAAAGTCCAGTGATTTTCTTAGATGCGATCAAACTTCGCGAAATCGAGTTCAAAGCCTTCAAAGCAGACGAAATATACATGCAGCATGACGCTGTGCCATTGTCTGAATGAGTTGCAGACAGACAACACCTAGTAACTATACAAATTGACTCAATAATTAGAGATAAAGCTCTAAAGTCAACGGATTCGAACAAAATAGAGAATATGTTGAGAGCCGTTGACGCAGTGATCAAGTTTCCGCATGAAACTCCCCATAAAAGGAATAAATCTTGTATAGAATTTTCTTGATCGGCTGGCATATACGTAAACACGTTATTAAACATATCGAGTATATCCGTAAGTGATACGTAATGTTCCTGTAGAGCTCTGAGAGGGCTGGAGGTCCTTTCGCAGATAAAATGAAGAGTATTTAAATCACTCGACATAATATGAGAGAAAAGCTCGTTGAGGTTGAGTAGACATTCTGGGATACCGTTGTTGAATGAGTTTCTGAGCGTATCTACGATGGTAAACATCAAATTAAAGGTAGATGTCTGTTCTATGTGGGTTAAACAGAAAGAAAGGATCGTATTGAAGTGGAATGTCAATGGTATGATGTCTTCTTTCGCGAGATTGCAGATTAAAGTGATAGCGAACTCTGTAGAGTCAATATAATTTTCAATAGCCCTTGTTGTATCGATATTCTGGCGTTTCTTGGGATCTTTGTCGATATCTTTAAGGAATACAGTCATATCGTGGATCTCTTCGAATCTTCCGAGCTGTAAATGCTGGAAATACCAATTTCCAAACGCCAAAAGCGGAACAACGCAGTTACTGGTCGTCTCAGGGTCAATACGATACAAATACGTAATGACACTCTCTAGGAATGACCTGCTGTCCGGATTAAATGTTCCATAATCAACAAGTGAAGTGACCAAAAAATTAAAATTTCTTGGTTGAGCGAGGTTTCTCCATAGAATCAAGTCGCAGGACATGAGAGGAACATTGGGATCGCTTATAGGGCACAAGCACTCTATCAAATCAGTGATAAATGTTGAAGGACTGTAGATAATGAAATGAGATATCGGATTTTTAATGACAATCCTCTTCCTGTAGTCGAAATCGATGTTTAATATCCATGGGCATATCAAAGTAATCAATTGCGACCTTGTACATTCCTTCCTGTTCACTGATATTTTCGGTAAAACAGAAAAAGCCAATTTCAACAATTGTTCCGTGCAATAACAAAACAGTTTCGAACATACTGTTGATAACTCAACACAATTGTCCATTCTCGTTGAGTTAATATTAGTTGGCAAATTTTCTATTTGTTTTGATATGTTATTCATCAGATTCTTGGCAACCGTGAAGTCGCAGTTGTAGTGTATCATGCAGAGAACACTTGAAACTTGTCCAATCATGCGAATTGCCTGTTGTCTGATTTTTATATCAGAATGTAACAAAAAGAAGAGGCCAACTAACAGGATTTTACCTGTCTTAGAGTAAATGAGCTCAATGAAACCTTTCTCGTTGTCATCTAAGTCAGTTTTGACTGCAGTTGACATATTTTTAATAAAAGTGTCATGTGTATAAATCATTGAGTCTTTCATGCTTGGAGCAACGAACTGGTTCGATATCGCGCCCATAAATCGCGATGCCGAGTCGAGAGTTGAAGACATCGCGATTTCGCAGTAATTATCAATGAAAATGTCGTAATGGTGCGTAAGCAAATGTTTTATGAATGATGGACGTTCATTCGCTATCATCGTACATTTGTTTATGAAACTCAAATTCATTGTAGAAGAATCTTTGAATAAAGGAGTCAAAGAAACTAAATAACTGAGCGCTATACGTGTAATATGTCCGAAAACCTTCAGAGTGTTTGCATCTAATTTGGTTGTTTTGAGAGCTTCGTTGACATCTGGAGAAATATCACAGTTTAAGCCAAGCAAGCTCCATTTAAAGAGTAAGTCGAACATCTTACTCTTGTCCATGATGGGACTAATGAGCTTGGAATTAGTGATTGTGCTAATCGCGCATCTTGGAATTGGACCATGAGGAGCTAGAAGCGTTGTCTGGTGTAGGTACTTGAAGTACTGGCCTCTGAATACTAAAAAGTTAGTCAGATGCTCAATGCATTGGAATAATTGGACATAATGACTTGTTCCATCAGAATTCCAAAGAATTTCTAATTGCTGATCAAATAATTTGAATATATTTGATACAGTACCTGTATTCATCAACTTTCCAATGTACTCAGAAAAGTGACATGACACTGCAAAATTTCTGAGAACTATTGAAAATAAAATCAAAACAAAATCTTTCCTTGAATTTTTCAAATCATCATTTCTGAGTGCTTTGAAGAGCAAATCGAAGATGTTTGGCAGCATCACGATATGCGCTGTGATACAAAGAAAGAATATTGCCGGTAAAGCTTTGGCTTTCATCGTCATTGCGCAAGACATCAACGTATTAAAGTAGTTTTCTATGAGAGATATCTGCTCTGACCACTTCTTACGCTGGAACATGTCCGAAATGGATGGCATCGTGTCGGCTGTTGACAAAAGGAAGCCAAAAAGATTCGAAAAATGGTGTAATTCAGCAGCATTCTCGTTATTCAAGTAATCTAAAGCGCCATTTGTCGTATTAATGAATTCAAATGACGATAACAGTGCTCTTCTGATGAATAAAATGTTTGGAGTCATATTATGGTAAATCATTTGAGTTTCTATCTCTTTTAGAGAGAATTTCCATAATATTAAGTACGGACTGAGTGCTGCTGAACGCAAAGGAATCGACGGAATCCTATGAATTGGACAATTTTCCGCATTAATCGAAGAAAAACTCGAAATTACAGTAATCATGATCTGTTGCTCTATCTGAGCATAGTTGTCTTGCAGAAATGCGAACAAACAACTCTCTCCTTTACCTCCAGTTTCGATAATAAAATTCAATAACATTTCCGACGAATCTACGATCTCCAGACCTATCTGTCTTGTCTCAGGGAATGGAGAACATAGTGCGATAAGCGATACAAGGTCGCACATGTAAAGAATTGTCGAAGCATTTGACTTAAATATGTTTCCTGATGATTGTATGCAATGGAGGAAGGTCAGAATGAGTTGGTGTATGCCTACACATGATTTGTCACTGATCAAAGTGATCGCCTGAGACAGAGCAGTGATAAATAATTCTGCAGAAGACGGAAGAGCGAAAAAGAGCATCTCAAATGTAATTGACGCGCATGATGAGATCTCTGGTATATCAGAAAGTATCAAATCAATGATGTAATTCACATATTCATCGATTGAATTTGAATAATAAATAACTATCGGCATAAACTTCAAATAGAGTACTTCTGATCGCGTATACGATGATACTGGTAACGTTTCTATCATCGGTAAGTGAAAAACCGAATAAAAACTTCCAAAATATTCAATTGGAGTTTCAAAGACGTTCGACCACTGTGTTAATGCATCCTTTGTTGATGCCTCGGCCGATGCTCTGTCTTCTATGCGTCCGCGTGGTGATCTGCGAACTGATGTGAAATTTTTCGGATTTAATAAGAACATCAGGACATTTGAAGGTATTGTGAGGTAATTTAGGTCACCATAAGAAGGTTTTACGTCAATAGAAGACAAAATTTCATCAGCGGATACGAAATCAAACGCATTTGACGCAAATGTCCTTGGTCTATCGGAAAACCACTGAACAGAGAGTGATTTAATGCGTTCTATCAATACATTAATGTATACTTTCGACGATTTGTTGGTAGATCGTGGAGAAGTTCCAGATAAATTGAAAAATCCGCTCAAAGGGTTCAAAATCCTTCCAATTGTTCTCAAAGCGACGTTTATATTCGGAGATGTCGGGTTCAAGAGCGTTGGAATCCATTCATTGGTAAATTTGTGTATATCCAATGCGGCCAAAATTTCCAACAGTATTGAAGCATTTTCTTCGTGATGGCTGAGGTTTACTGTGAATACTGTTTGGAATATTGACCCGATTATGTCAAAAACCCTGTTGTCAAGGTTTAATTTGACAAATTCTGACGGACGAAGGAAAGCAATGATATATTGAAGGGCTGTGTCCGCTTTATGTATTTTTACGAGTCGTTTTACGACCTTCTGCTGGTAAAATTCTTGGTACTGCTTGTTTTGGAGGTCAGGAAAGCGTAAATAGTGGCAAACTCCGTATAGACGCTCTGCATTGGCCCAGGAAACTGGGGATAGTATATGTTTCTCTGCAAATTTTGTAAAATATGATAAATCTTTTTCTTTTATGTTGGTATTTTGGGAAAGAATGTCGTAAAGGAACACGCAAGCAGCATTTATGAAATCATCACTACTTTTGAATGTTTTGATGAGATTCTGGAGCTGTACGATGGAAGGTTCGATCAAATTGTAATTTTCTGCATCGAAATTGATTCCGATAGCAGAATGTAGGAAGTTAATGACTACATTCTGTCCTGTAGTTGTTTTCGGGAAGATGGAATTGAACCTTGTTGAGAAAAGAAGAAAATTTGTTTTTGAAATCGCCGTAATTATTGGTTTGTTGAGGTTATTGATGAGGCGAATCACTTTAAAAGAAAATGTCCCGGGGGCTGGAGCGGATTGCCGCACAAGTAATCGATTGATTATGCTTTCTAAGATCGAATCTTGGATTTTCGTTGGGTCTTCGAGAATAGCAAGTAGCAAAGTGGCATATGTAGCCTCTGAAATAAAGTTTACCGTTATCGCAAGTTCGGAATTCTCAGAGTCTGCGTCAGGAAAAAAAGAAAGAACATTTTCTGAGGACATTTCTGTAGATTTAGGCACTCCTATAATTGAAGGAAAGAATTCATTGAGCTTTGTGATAGCTTTGTTGATATTTGGTCTTGATATTGAAGCAAATGTCGTAATTCCTGCGTTTATTATTGTATTTATTGCGGGAAAAGTTGATAATTCAGATAATATAAGCGCTTGTAATGCTGTGGTATCTTTCTTATTATGTACTTGGTCTGTTTGAGTGATAGTTTTGATAAGATTTGAAAAATATTTAGAAATCTCAAGCGTGAAATGTGAAAGAAAAGAATCCATGACATCCCCATTGTTTGAGTCTTTGAAAAATAACTGGGGGATTTTCATAGTTGATGAAAATTTGTTCATGAAATTCTTCTGACAAAAAATATCAATGAAACTCAATAACATTTGATTTTTAATTATATCATTAGATATGTCACATTGAAAAATTAAAATTCTGAAAAAATTAAGTCGATTTAAAAATTAATTTCTCAATCTATTCAAAACACAGTGATTTATTAATAACTATTATATCTATGTGAAGGTATATATGATTTGGATGGAAAGACAAGAAAATTTAAATTTTACTAGTAAATCTAATTTTTAACATGAAAATTTAGCGCCTCTTTGGAGCAGAGTATGTCTTATTCATGGCCATTCTTTCGCAAACAGGGAAGTGATGTCTAGCAGCTTCCTCGCTCATCTTTCTGCCGCAAGTTGGGCACTGAACGAGATCCGGAGGCTCTTCAATCGGTGGAAGCTCTGGTGGTGGACCAACAGCCTTTCCGGCCTCAAGATCAGCTTGGTATTTTGCGTATCTTCTAGCAGCGCGAATTGACTCAACCATTTTATCGTGGTCTCTTTGCCACTTAGGTACTTCTTTTGGTGCATCTTGTTGTTGTGGAGGAGGTCCTCGAGATCCACTTGCTGTTTTAGGTTTAACAGAACTTGGTCTTGGCTGGCCACCACCCATTTTTGGAGCTGCAGTTGGTGGTGCTGCAAATTCTAAATCTTGATCGCCATCATCCATATCTGCTGGTGGCAATGAACGTTGTGATACAGTAACCGAAGGTGGAGAATTTCTGTATACGCCAAATGTCTTACGAATCCATCTTAATATTAAGAGTCTTGTTCCAACAGGACCAACTCCCATTTCTTTAAGATGCTCATCCGTTATTAAAGGAAGAACGACTCCTTTTATTTCTGCATCACGGAAATACTGGACAGCATTGGAAAAGCCTGCTTTTTCGAGGGCCTCGGCAACGCCATCAACGTCCAGGTCCTCACCACTCATTTTTTTTTTTTTTTGTTTTTATAAAATCGATAAAATAAAACTTTACAAAAGCTTATCTTAATCATTCATAGCCTGAGAAAAGGCTTCATATTTAGAACATAGATAGAAACGATCATAAGAAGCTTAACTTGAGATCTAGGAGTAAAATTGTACAAATTTCAAAGATGAAATAACATGTTACTGGTGTTGGATTAGAAGTGAGTGTCTGAAAGTTATGATGAAAAAAATCTCATGGAATCTTCTGAGTTGAGTGACTTCTATGAAATCCTGAAGGTATATTCACCCCATGGCGTCAAGAGGTGTTATGACGTAAACTTTTTTAATAGAATTTTTTAATGAAAGTATCACAGATGTTGCGAATGGTGGATTTCTGTGTAAAAATTCTTTGTTTTATTTAGAAATAATCAAAATGAAAATTAATTTCGATATTTATAATATTTGATAATATTTATGTAATGTATTCGTTGATTATGATAGAAATTTCGATTTTTGATATTTTTCAGATATTTTGTAAAGTTACGACATTTCAAAAATGAGCAAAGATATTACTCTGAATTTCAAATACATTGGTTCTCACATCAGTGATTATATTCAAAATGGTGATTTCTTTGATATATTCGATCTCGAAGACATCAAAACAATCATGAAAAATTCAAAATTAACAACAACACAGTTCGTCTCTCTTCTCAAACAATCTCCATCAACTCTTAATTCCAGTAAATTATACAGATATACACGAGATGCGAATGTTACTATCCAAAACATCGACGACGTCATTTCAGTTCTTAAAACAGTCAAAAAATACATGAAAATGAATATATTTGATGGCATCATTGATTTTTTGAAGTTAACAGATAACGAACTGCGTAATTCTCCCAAAGAAATCAAAAAGCTTCAAGAACAAATTCAAAGTTTTCAAAATGAAAATAAACGAACACAAGAAAACAACAAACATCGTCAAGATCTTTTAACTAAAATATCATCACTCAAGAAATCTGATGATTTTGATAGTATTTACAAATTCTTTGAAGAACTTTGTTCAGAAGGCAATAGAGAAATGATATCAAAATCATGTGAAGAAGGACTTTGTGAAAAGACTACAAAGAATGGAAGGAATGTTCTTCATTTTGGATGTGAAAAAGGAAATCTTCAACTTGTCAAATCACTTGTCGAATGTGGTTGCAATAAAGAAGCAAAAAATGGTAATGAATTAACTCCACTCATTTGGGCATCAAAAGAAGGTCATCTTTCAATTGTTCAATATCTTATCTCAGTTGGAGCTAATAAAGAAGCAAAGAATAAATATGGATGGACTCCACTCATTAAAGCATCATTTAAAGGTCATCTTGAAGTTGTTCAATATCTTATCTCAGTTGGAGCTAATAAAGAAGCAAAGAATAATTTTGGATCTACTCCGCTCATTATTGCATCATTAAATGGTCATCTTTCAGTTGTTCAATATCTTATCTCAGTTGGAGCTAATAAAGAAGCAAAAGATAAAGATGAATATACTCCGCTCATTTTTGCATCATCTCATGGTCATCTTGAAGTTGTTAAATATCTTATCTCAGTTGGAGCTGATAAAGAAGCAAAGAATAATTTTGGATCTACTCCGCTCATTATTGCATCAACTTATGGCCATCTTTCAGTTGTTCAATATCTTATCTCAGTTGGAGCTAATAAAGAAGCATATGATAATGATGGAGATACTCCACTCATTTGGGCATCATCTAATGGTCATCTTGAAGTTGTTAAATATCTTATCTCAGTTGGAGCTGATAAAGAAGCAAAGAATAATTTTGGATCTACTCCGCTCATTATTGCATCAACTTATGGCCATCTTTCAGTTGTTCAATATCTTATCTCAGTTGGAGCTAATAAAGAAGCAAAGGATTATGATGGGTGGACTTCACTTATTTATGCATCACATCATTCTCATCTTTCAATTGTTCAATATCTTATCTCAGTTGGAGCTAATAAAGAAGCAAAGAATAATTTTGGATCTACTCCGCTCATTATTGCATCAATGGGAGGTCATCTTTCAATTGTTCAATATCTTATCTCAGTTGGAGCTAATAAAGAAGCAAAGAATAATTTTGGATCTACTCCGCTCATTATTGCATCATTAAATGGTCATCTTTCAGTTGTTCAATATCTTATCTCAGTTGGAGCTAATAAAGAAGCAAAGGATTATGATGGGTGGACTTCACTTATTTATGCATCACATCATTCTCATCTTTCAATTGTTCAATATCTTATCTCAGTTGGAGCTAATAAAGAAGCAAAGAATAAATATGGATGGACTCCACTCATTAAAGCATCAATGGGAGGTCATCTTTCAATTGTTCAATATCTTATCTCAGTTGGAGCTAATAAAGAAGCAAAGAATAATTATGAATATACTCCACTCATTCAAGCATCATTAAATGGTCATCTTGAAGTTGTTAAATATCTTATCTCAGTTGGAGCTGATAAAGAAGCAAAGAATAATTTTGGATCTACTCCGCTCATTATTGCATCATTAAATGGTCATCTTTCAATTGTTCAATATCTTATCTCAGTTGGAGCTAATAAAGAAGCATATGATAATGATGGAGATACTCCACTCATTTGGGCATCATCTAATGGTTATCTTGAAGTTGTTCAATATCTTATCTCAGTTGGAGCTAATAAAGAATCAAAGGATAATTTTGGATCTACTTCACTCATTTATGCATCAGAAAATGGTCATCTTTCAGTTGTTCAATATCTTATCTCAGTTGGAGCTAATAAAGAAGCAAAGAATAATGATGGACAAACTGCTCGCTCAGTTGCAGGTAACAAAGAATTAAGAGATTATTTAATTTCTATTGAAGCAAAGTAATCTAATCAGATCATTAAAATAAATATTACAGTACTACTCGTATCACAGAATATTTTTATAGGATTGTCAGAGAATTGAAGTAAAAACTTTAATAAAAACATCAAATTTTAAACTGAGATTGTAATTTAAACACAGTTTCGGGAAAAGCCGTCGAAGTTTTAATAAAAGTCTTGTAAAAAAAATAAATATTACAGTACTACTATTGTAAAATGTGCATCGAAGTCAATAAAGACGCAAAGGATGAAGATGGATGGACTCCACTCATTTATGCATCATCTAAAGGTTATCTTTCAGTTGTTCAATATCTTATCTCAGTTGGAGCTAATAAAGAAGCAAAAACTAATGATGGAAAAACAGCTCTTTCAATTGCAAAAAAACAAAAAAAATATGAGATTATTTGATTTCTATTGGAGCCAAGTATGACAGTACTGCTCATATCACAGAATATTTTTATTAGATTGTCAATAAAAACATCAAATTTTATTAAAAAATAGAGAATGGAATGTATTTAGAATGTTGGAGATACGGAATCAAAAGAATTTTTTTGTCAATCAAATATGAGAAATTTTGTCGAAACATGAATCCATCGAAGATGTGAATCTAAAATAATGTAAGCGCAATGGCAAATGAATGAACGCTATTGGTTGTGATCTGAAATGATGTTAAAAATTATTATATTGTTAAAATATATATGAAATAAACATGGCCTTCAATTCAGATCTTTAATGTTAATTTTCAATGACGCTTCACGCCAGTTGTCAAAAAAATTTAATTAACGTCAAATGGTCGTAAGTACAGCCTTAAATAAAAATATAAAAATAAAAAAAGTTAAATACTGTTCAAAAATAATCAGAGTTTTAAGTCAGTATGTGAATATTTGGATGTTGTAACATCTTTAAGATATTGGATGTGATGAGAGATTCTGTGGATAGATGAGGATCAATTTAGACAGATGAAACTAAGTTGAATTAGAAAGAAGAAATGATTGAAATTCGTGAATATCATAACATAAGTAATAAGAAAAAAAGTTAAATGTAATGAAAATTGGTTCGAAATAAAAAATCATTTAGAGTTGTAGGAGTGACTGTTTTCTTTAAATAACAATAAAATAAAATTGACTAATATTAACATTACTCACAGAAAAAAAATATAAGTCTAATAGAGTTGAATCCTTGGATTGGATTGGATTAAATTGGATATTGATCGAAAATATTGAATCAGAAAAAAAAACTTGGAGTAGATAGAACTGCAATGAATAAAAGAGTTGTTCATAGTCCATCGCAGATTTAAAATAGACAAAATGGTTGAGTTTCATTAGTGATTAGTTAGTAGAGAGTGGTAACTTGTGATGCGGAATAAAGAATTGTGAATGTGTTTGCAAAGAATTGTAAATAAATAGAATTTCAATAAATGTTGTTTAAAAAAAGTCAAAAAGACTGTTCAAAGTAAAGAGTGGATCTGTTAGTATGAAATGAGTAGTGATTTGACGATGATGGATTAGTAAAGAAAAATATGTAGTTACATGTAGCGAAATCTAGTTTTTTTTAAAAAAAAAGTTTGATTTGAACTGTATTGTAGACAAGTTGCGTGTCAATTGTGGATGTTGTTGTTGTTGTAGCAGTAGAAGTGTTTGTTTTAAATAAAGTTAGAGAAATCTAAGTGTATATGTTGGAAAAAACAAAAAATAAAAGTTTGGTGTTTCTTATGTAGTAATATATGAAAGTTTGATGTTGATATTGATTGTAGTTGTCAAGTTTGTAAGGGAGATATTCCATCTTCATGAGTTTGAGAAGAAAAGAAGTGAGATTTCTATTATGTTGTCGTTTGTTTGGTAAACAGTGAATTATATTTGGTTGTGTCGAGTGATTAAAATCAGTTTCTGTGTTAGTTAAAGAATACAAAGAATTTTTGTTGAAAATTATGAATTAATCAGCGAATACTTGGAATTAATATGATTGTAGATTCGGATTTGTCATATTAAGGAATGATGAATAGGAAAAATTGTTGTTTGGTTGTTTGTTTTCAGTTTCAGTTTCTTATTCGCTAATACTTTTAATTGAGCACTGACTGGTGTTGGTTTAGAGGTGAGTGTCTGAAAGTTATGATGAAAAAAAAAAACTAATGGAATCTTCTGAGTTGAGTGACTTCTATGAAATACTGAAAATTTTGAACTTTTGAATCGAATTTTTTAATGAAAGTATCACAGATGTTGCGAATGGTGGATTTCTGTGTAAAAATTCTGAGATACAGACATTTGAAGGAGGAGGAGATTAATGATAATTTGTTCAGTCAACGTCATTGAAATGAAGATGATCTTGAAGAGATAGCTGGATTTGGTTTTTCTTATTCAATTTGATATTTTTACCAACAAAAAATTTGAAAAGTGACAAAATAATGACAAGAGTGAATGAAATGAAAGAACTAGTTGAAAAGCAAAAACAAATTGCTCTTCACACTCCAGTCTATATAATTGGCAATGATGGAGCTATTGCCAGTCTTGAGCCAATCACACAAAAATTTTCTGACATTTTCGAAAATCCAAATGCTTTTAAGACTGTTCATAATAACGAACAAGAGATTGATGTTGCACTTGCCAAGGCAGTTAACAGGACATTAGTTTTTTATCTTTTTAAATCAGATAGAATTTATCAAGAAGCTTGGTTTGAAGAAGGATTAAAGCAGAAGTTCGAAGAAGATGGTGGTGTTGATGTGCATGCCATTGATGTTTGCAAATCCTTCTTTGAAGAGTTGAATTATCTAAAAGAGCTCAAAATTACAAAATATCCATGTGTATTAACATACAGAGCCGGGCATTTAATTGATATTTTCTATCCAGAACTACAAAAAGGCAATAGCGTTGCCGAAAAACTTGTCGAACTCAAATACGTTCAGCAGAAGAAATTCCAAGAAAATTATGTTAAATTCGATGATAGCGGCAATGTTTACGATGCAGATAAACTCGCTTTCGAAGAAAGAATGCGCAAGAAACAGGCAGAACAGATACAAAGGGAAGAAGAAGAGAAGAAACGATACTTGCTTGAAGTTAAAAGGAAAATTGAGCAGGATAAGAAGGATAGAAGACAAAAGTACGGAAAGATATAATTTTTTTCTAAATAAATGTTTTATTTCACATTCATTCATACATTTAAAGATGCTTTATCATAAGCCTAATAATATTTGTATTGGAATTTAATTTTTTCTGATAAATTTTTTGAAATTCTTTTTTTTTCCTACCAAATCATCAGTTTTTAGATTATTATATGATTTTGGAGGTTATTTTAATTGGATCTCCTTTTGCATGTAAATTTAATAATTGATATCATCAAATTGCTTAATTTAGTCCACATTTAGATACAAAATACTTTTTTTCACATGCACATTTGTTTTTTATCAAAATGATTTGTATTTTATGAGGGTACAAATATGAAATTCTAATTTATTGAATCAAATTTGTAAGTTCGAGGAGTTGTGAATAGAGAAATGGAAAGAAAAAGACAAGACATGATGAAATTTGAATGACTCATAATACCAAATTTCTTATACTACATTTTCTATATTAATGTTTGTTTGTTTAATCCAAAATAAAAATATCATATGACATAACTAAAAAAATGTTTATTTATCAACTGGTATGCAAGCCATTGAAGCAATGCCACACTGGTTGCCTTTGTCCTTAATCATCCGGATGTACCCTTCTTCACCCCAACCAAGACCCCATGAGTTACGAACAATCCAGTACTTCGTTGATCCTTCTGCGCCGTATCCAACGCATCCAACGCCGTGATCGAGGCCATAAGAGGAGCATGATGGCTCATTGTAGATACCTTGTGAGTAGAGTTGGAATGAGTAATGTGAAGCATCGATTGCTACAGCAGCTGGGCCATTTGTGGATATTTTTGTTGCAAGATCATTTTCATCGCCTTCAACAACATTTATGTATGAAACAATATTAGAAACAGCTTTATCTGTGTCGAATAGACAGTCATAGTAATAGGCTGTATATGGGTAATCATTTTCAAGCATGAACTTGCCGTCTTGATATTTAATAACGTAATCATAGGCGTTTGTCATAAGACCTCCTTCGCAGCCATCACATGTAGTAACGCAATCAACAAGGTTCTGCTCTGAAAGCTTTTGGAGTTCTCCAGATGTAATCGCGTATTGAGATTCTTGAGCTTGGATTGCAGAGAAGGCCCAGCAAGATCCGCACTGACCTTGATCTTGAATTGGATTTACGACACCTTTTGAACGCCAATCAATACAATCGTTCGCTTTTGAGTGAGATTTTACAGCTTTATTGTTGGCGCCGTTATTACGGAATCCAAGAAGTGAATGGTATTCTGCTGGTGTGAGATGTGCTAGTCTATTGAGTGCAACGGTGAATCCAAGGTTGGCACGATTGTGTTCTTCAACGAATCGCTTGTTTGAGAGCCAAATTCCAAAACGTGACTGATATTCATCGCCTGTGAAGATGTTTCCTGTCTCTCGCATCCATCCAAGAAATGCTTTCCGTTCATTCTGTTGTGTAAGCATAAACTTAAAAATCTGTCAATTTTTTGAATGGGAAATAATTTTGAACCGAAAGATATGTTGTTTATCTAATTGAATATCATTTGCAAATTATAAATTAGCAAATTGAGAATTTTAGAAAAATTGAGAAGAAATTTTGATTTATTGTTTTGATTATAAATCTTTTGATTTTGCTTATCAATTATAAAACAAAAACTATACATTCAGATGAATAATATGGTTTTTGGAGCCATTGCTATTTAAAAATAGCAGGAATCATATTGATTGAGTTGAAATTAATCTTCATTGAACAATCAAAAGTAGTAAAGCTTGTATACAATATCCCTTTTGTCTGATGACCCTAATATCAAAAAGAAAACTGCGGTTTGAATACTTTCTGAGATACTTATTGACATAATATTGCTAATAAAATATTTTTTTTTGTTATGTAACGTCACTCAAAAGTTTTGTTATGTTTTTGGTATCATTTTGTATTGCAATGATTAGAGTGGTTGACCCTGATCTATCTTTTGTATTAATATTAGCTCCATTTTGAAACAACGTGCAACTATTATTGTCTTCTGCATTGAATTCTGCACCTTGTAAAATAAGAAGTTTGATAATATCTTTGAATCCATGTAAAATAAGAAATTATATTAAATCATTAATGCCTTTTTGTACAGCAGTTTGAAGAGCAGTTAGAACGAAATCATTTTCTAAATTAGCATCCACGTCAGGTGAAAGAATAAGTTTAATTGCCCTTTTAAAACTAGATTCATATGCAAAATGAAGAGCCGTCATTCCATAATTTTTTTTTGCAAAAATATCCGAACCATATGAAATGAGAAGATTAGAAATATCTTTGTTATAATGCATTAATGCAATATGAAGAAGAGAATAATTTATCGACATATTTATATCAATGTCTACTCCATGAGAAACAAGAAATTCTGCAGAAGAAAATTATTTGAATTCACAAAGAAATGAATATGATAATCAACAATACCATGATAACTATATAATTCAAGTAAAGAAACAGGACCGAGCAGATACCAATTGTTGATTAGCTTTTTATTGTCATCAAATCCTTCTCTTCATGTGAAATAGATGAATAATTCTTTGGCATTATCCATAATTGCTCTCTAAAGACTTTTCTTTTTTCTTCGAAGAAATCAAGTGAATAATTCGACTTACAATTCTCTATCACAGGTTTATAGGTCTATGATAATAAAATCCCTTTTTAATCTGTGATATCTGACCTTAAAACATTTGGAATTGTTTGAATGGAATTTTTGGAAAGGTTTAGATGATGTTCATCAAAATGATTTTTAAAAACTGCTTTGTATTAATGAAGTATTTGAAATTGTAAGGTATAGATGTTGAAATAATGAAATAATTTTAAGAATTGCATTAAGCGTTGTATATTTGCTTTCGAATATTCCATTTCAAATATCAATATGAAATTTGTCGATAGCCTGTTTGTTGAGGGTAATCCTTGTGAAGTTTCATCATTACAGAATAGAATGCTCCTACCATGAATCAAAAAATGGAAAAAAAAGTCGTTCAGAATATTATCAAAAGGAATAATTTATAATATAATATAATAAAGATCAATCTCAAAGTCAATATTAGAATTCTTTTCCTTTGAATTATCATTTTTATGGAAACTTTTGCAGGTTGTTATATATTAAGAAGTCAAAACCCTCAATACAAAACGCACTGCTATATAGGCTTCACTGTAAATCCTCCTCGACGTATTAAACAGCATAATGGAGCTAGAGTTGGTGGAGCATTTAAAACTCATACGATGAGACCATGGGAAATGACATTGGTTGTATGGGGTTTTCCAACAAAAAAGCTTGCTCTTAAGTTTGAATGGACTTGGCAGCATCCAACTGAAGCAAAATCATTGAAACATATTAATTTCGAGGAATTTTATCAAAGAGAAGGCGGACCTCGTAAATACAATACGAATTTAAAGATTTTAAAGGAAATGTTGCTTTCCCAGCAATGGAATAGATTATCCTTAAGAATTTGCGTCCAATGTAAAGACGTTTACGAAATGTTGTTACAGCCACCAGTCCTCCCACAACATATTAAAATAGAATTGGGAAGTATTAATGATTTACCGATTGATTCTCATGGATTTCCATCACCTGGTGAATATGGAAATACTCCATGTCCTTTATGCAATGAATCAGAACCTCCTTATAATATGAATTGGGTTGTTTGTCCATTTTGTGGTACATTAATGCACCTAAAATGCATGGCGCTGAGACTTATCTCACAAAGCCCATCTGCAGGCACAGCTCTAATACCTACACATGGTTCTTGTCCTTCTTGCAAAGAAAATATAATTTGGAGAGATCTTGTTGAATTAAGGAATCAAATTCAAGACGAAGAAGAATAACTAATAGTTTTGCATCCCAATGCTAGTTATCATCAAATGTAAAATGATGAGAAAAAATTATTTTCCCATCTTGCATTAATTGAGTAATTCTTGTTTGTTATGTTATTATTATATTAGAATAAATGTTTGTTATCTATGGTGAAATGAATTTTCAAATGAATATTTAAAAAAAAAATTGGAAAATATGTAAAATACAAAACAAACAGTTTATAGAAATATATTTGTATGAATCATTATGTTGGTGGATTCATATTCACATTAGTTGAATTGTTATTAACATATTCTGGAAATTCAGCATCATTCCAGGTGAATGCATCTGATGGTGGGCGTATTGGGACGAAGAAATGAAAGATTGTTGGGTAAATTTCTTTCAAATTGCTGCAATTTCCATGATCATATGGATTTATACTGAATGATTGGTAAGATTCAATTGTTGGCTTACTCTGACCTATTCTAAACACATAAGAAAGTCCAAATAATATGAAAACTGCTCCAAACATCACTGCAACAATACCTCCTGTTTGATTTCCTTTGTTTGCAAAGAGCATAGCAGCAATTAGGATGAGTTGAACTCCTCCATAAAAGCTAACTAATATGAATCCTTTGATGTTATATAAGCCAACACAGTTTCCAATGGCAGGACAATGATGATCAAAATAAATTACGCATTTGTTACAAGTCGAACAATGATGTGTTCTCTTTGGCTTCGGATACGAGCATTTAGGACATTTAGGAATGTTTTCAAGATCATGTGGAATTTCACCTTTCAAAATATTGTCTTTTATACCTTGATTTTCATAATAACTTTCAATATATCCTGGATCAAGCCAGCAGCAAACAAAATATGACCATAGCCACAAAATTCCAAGAAAATAATAAATTCCGCTAATAATTTGTGATGCTAAAGTAGGATATTTGCAGAATAAATAAATATTGCATCCCAGACCTCCAAACCAAAGAAGTAAAACTGTTATTCGGCCAGGTAGTTGATCACCTCTTATCACTGCAAATTTCATAAAAAAAACTGACAAAAATTTATTGAAAATTACATTATAGTTATTATTTGTTTTTCCTTTGATCTATTGTCTTAAAAACAATTTTTAGCAAATATAAAACGAAATTGTTAATTTCTTGATGGAAAACAATTCAACTTTTGGATTTCTGATTGTTAGTGATTCTTGTATAGATTGATCTGAAACAATTCTTAGTGATCCAAGTATATTCGATGTTGGAAAATACAATGAAAAAAAATATCAATTAGATATATTACTAATATTTATAAATAATAACAAACAAAAGATAGAAATGCAGAAAATATATAAAATTCTGCTATAAATCGTTTGGAATTAAGACCAAAGATAATGGATGCGAGGATGATGATGAATCATCATCTGGTTTAAGCTTGTCTAATGCGGTATCACCAGCCGATGATTCTTCTTCATCAGCATAGAAGTATTCGAAGTCTTGGGAAATTACAATTTGCCTGTTAAAGGGTAAGAAATCCTCTTTCGTGATTGTAAATACATCTAGAGATTCTGTTTTATAAATCGTTCTAAGATCCATTGAAGTTATTTCATCTGAGTTGGCATCTTCGTATTCAGGCTCTTTTTTCTGGCATAATTTACTCCAATACCCCTTTGGTACTAGGAAAAACAGAACTGATGCAACTATACTAGTTATAACGATAATGATAATAATTATTGAACCAGAAATAATAACTGCTTGCTGATTTGCTGATGGTGATGGAGATGGCGGTGGTCTGATCCTTGGTGGAGGTCTGCATTTTGTAAAAAATATATAAAAAAAGAAGAGGAAAATCATGATTTTAATTAAAAAAAACTGACGAAAATTTTTTTATTATTTATGAAAAAAAAATCATTGGATTGAGGAGGAACCATATAAAAAAAGTGTGTTTTTAGCATGATTTCATGATATAGTTTTGTTTGTTTCGAATAACTCTTATTAGAGGAAACCAATATTCAAAAAAAATCATTTTGATATTTATTTGAGTTTCTTTTGTTTTCCTATGAATATGTCATAAATAATGTTTAAAAATTAAATTATCTTAGCAATTTTATGACAAAAAAAAATTAAATAAATAAAAAGTTTGTTATTACCCATCTAAATTTTCTAATTGTAAAATTTTGAATATTTTTCGGAAATTGAGGGTGTTAATTTGAAAAGTGGCTTTCAATTGATTTTTTAATTCAAAATATAATTTTGTAGATATATTAATTATGTATAGTATAATATAATATTATTAGTTTAACAAATTCAATCAATTCAAAATCCATCCTTCTGAATTCTGATACAGATCCATAAAAATATAAAAAATTAAAATAAAGCTAAATTCTCGCTTTGAAAAAGATTTTTAAAGATACTAAATATTAAGGGTGCACCCGTATGTATGTTTATTTGAGAGGAGGAGGATTACCCTCTCAATTTTGAGGGATTCGTTAGTTTATTTTCTCGATGAATATGCAATAAAATTTGATTTTTACCTTATCAATATACTTCATATAATATACACATGTTCATGTAAAAACTTTTTCCAAAATCCTCAGGAATTAAGGGATTTTTGAATTTTAAGAATTTTTTTCGAATTTTTTCGAAAAAAAAATATTTTCAGAACAGCCTTAACGGCTAAGATTTAGGAACAATGTTAAGTATCAAAAAGAAAGGAGGTCTGATATAGACAACATATATCGTTGAAGGTTGAAAAAATCTCTAATATTTGAGCCCAAAATTTCAAATTTTAATTTTTTGAAAAAAGAGGCCACCCGTATGTACGTTTATTTGAGAGGAGGAGGATTATATTTTTGAAAGGGTGAAACATTATGAATATGTTAATTATATAATAATATGTATTATTATAAAAAAGAAAAAATAAAGCACGTTAAAATTTTTCTTTCTTGATTTTTTACAAAATCTACTTAGAATTATGCAAAATATGACTAAATAATTATAAATTTCAAGTTAAATTTTAATTTTGATAAATAATTTAAATTTCAAAATATCAAGTTCAGTTCGACTATGTATGTAGTAATTCCTCAATAAAGTGCCAAAACCCTATTAAAATATATGAACATTTTCAACATTTTAATGTTTTTATTTAAAAATTTGATGGAATATGAGCTTCAAACAATTATTATGTAAATAAAAATAATTAAATATATGTATTTATTCGTATTACAACCGTAGTAAGTCGATTCTTCCTTTCTTCTACTGAGATTTGAATTTGATTTCGAATTGTAAAGAGATTCAAAGGGAAAATACTAGCGGATAAAAACTACCTCCATGAAAGGGTCATAATGGAGTCAAGTTGTATTTTTTGATATTTTTTGCTTTTCGAGCCTAAATAGGTAGCCAAGATAATGCCTAAAAATAAGGTTCTAAATTCTGAAGTTTACATGATCCTCTCGTGTGCACCCTTAATTACCATTAAATAAAAATTTATCAATTACTGAGATCTATTCATGTTCATTCACGGTGACACCCCTCATATTTTACATAGATTAATATGAGGATACAGTTATATAGAAAATATCTTGCTAAGCCTTTCAGATGGCGATATATAAGGACTATAACCATCACACTTATAAGGAAACATTTCAAGATTGAGAAAGTGTGTCCATGCAGCCTTAAATGATCTTTAAAACTATGCATAGTTATCTTTACCTTCAAGGTGGTAACATGTACAATATTTGAGATGATTATTTTTCGATATGAAAATGAAATTGTAATACATAATATGGAATCAGGCAAAAAATTACTAATAAGTGATGAAGAATATTGGTACATGTTATGAAATTAGAAAAATTTAGGTAAATAAAGAAAAAAAAAAGAAATATATAAATCAAAACAAAATATTTAACAAAAATACAACAAATACATTATTCTGTAGTATATTTGGAAAAGTGTTCAATATAATTAATGAGGTAATGATCAATTATTGAGTGGGGATCTTGAGGAACGCGATTTATTTGTTTATTTTGATCTACAATGGTTTCTGTAATATTATTAGTATTACTCATACCTATCCAATAGCATTTGCCCCCTGGAACTGTAGATAAGCGGAATACTTTTTTATTTGTAAGTTTATCGTAGATATCTGATGTCTGTTCTGTTAGCAAACTCATAAAATGTGGTTTGAGATTGATTTTTGTGCCATCATCGAATTTGTTAAGCAGCTGAGCAAAAGTATTATTAATTTGGTCTTTTGTAAGGCCAGAAACAGTACCATAAGTTGACCTTATGTAATCAGAATGAATGTTAATACTATTAGTGCTAACGTAATCGTGTGCGTTGATTATTGTTGCAGAATAGTTTTTAATCAATAAAGAACCTTCATAATCAATTGACGGAACTGGTCCAAATCCTACTGAGTATACATTATTGATAGAATGATTATAGTAGTGAATAATTAAATTCAAAATATGGGCAACAGAAGCTCCATATGAATGCCCGGTGATGTATATCTCTGAGTATTTCTGATTGAGATAATATCCGATCTTATTAAATGTGTTTATCGATGCGCGATAGTAACCTGCTGGAAAAGTACCGTATTGAGTCCTTAATTCTGCACTATCAACAAGTGTATCTAAGTCATATTGTGAAGCTGATCCGCGAATTGCAATAACAAGTCTAGATCCTTCGGAATTGATACTAAATTTGGGATAATACTTTGCATTATGTGTAAAATTAAATAAAAGAGTCGAATTTTTAATGGTTAATTTTGGATTATACTCTCTCGTAGAATAATCCAGCATTCGTTTCATTGTAAGTAGAGAAATATTCATTTTTGGATGGAAAAAAAAAATAATCGTTCCAAACAACTCTTTCAATGGAAATATATTAAAATTGGGTTTTCCTATTTATGCTTAACTCAGAACTATGAAAACCAAATTGATTCAATCGGATAATGTCACTTTTTTCAAATGATGAGATAAAAGAATAGTCATTTCTCAGTCAAAATAATAAGCAATTCATGGCCCACATGAGAATCAAATAAACCAAATCATATAACACCACATATACCTGAATATAATCAGTTGTTGCTTATCTCTTACCCTTTATTTCAATAGTTTTTTTTACATCGTTTTTGATTTGATAGAGAAAAAAAAATTTTATTTGCAGGATGATAAATTTATCTCTTTTTGTTCATTTCATCCCGCATTTTCTTTTACTTTTGATTTCATGGAAGATGACACTTGGCCCTGGAGTCCTTTTCTTTCATAAACTCAAATGTTTCAGCTTATTAAAGACACCCATATTTAACGCTGAAGATTTACATGATTCAACGCAAAGCAACAACGATAAAGCATCAAATTCTTTTACTCTCAACGCATTTCAACTTGTTAAAATCCCATTAGTTCAAGATTTCTTTTTCTTACTCGGATTACCAGGTTTATATTTCTTCTTATACGCGATTTATCATATCTATAAGTATGAGTTTATGGAACCTGATATATCTTTGTTCTATTTAACAATACTCTTGTTAATTATTCCTTGTTTCAAATTATTGAAGATGGAAAGAGAATATTTATCATACTATCCTATATTCTATGTCCTAATGGCATTTAATTTTACGGCATTTTTGTATTTTACTCGTTTTCTTGATTTTGGTAACCTTACAAAACGAGATTACATAGAATTAGCAATTATTTCATTCCTTGAATCAGTTTTCTTTTCACCTGCTGGCATTATTCCGGGAAGAAATTACTATAATTACGTTCATCCTGATCTTGATCTCGTAAACTATTCAGGGTTCCGTTCAATATTGCTCACACTTTATTCCAAGTTCAGTATGTCACTTATTTATGTTTGGCATTATATGAATTTAGTTGATTTGATTGCTTTCTTTATTATTGCCTTAGCAAAGGATTTCCATACTGCAGTTAATTTCATCATTATATCAACAACAGTATTCTGCCTTCTAAACTTCGTTGTTACAAAGAAAATGATACAATTCCAACTAATTACTCTTCTTCTCCCTTTCTTCAGGGTTTCGAAGACCAAAGAAGCTCCAAAGCTCAAGGCACTTATAAGATCCCTAGGACCACATACTTTTGGCATGTGTGTACTTCCAATTGCACAAATTCTTCTTTTGATGTACATTGTTCAATGTTATATTACTAAGAAAGATGCTACGTTCTTCCTCGCTATACTATTAAATGGTATTTGCATTCAAGCATCTCAAACTTTGATTTCTCTGAAATTAACAATTGGAAATCCATTTGGATTATCACTATTCTAATCATAAATTTTTTGTTTTGAACATAAAATCTCTAAGCACATTTTCAATTTTTTTTTTGAAAATTTTTGGTTCATTTAAAAATGGCAAGAAGAAAGTGTAATAAATTTTTGCAAAGTTTCCTTTCAAAAAATTGATAGAATTGTAAATCGTAAATTTTTTTTTTCAATGGATCGAAATTTCAACTATAAATAAGTTTTATTATACAGGCTATATTCAAAACGCCACATTTTCATCAGGAATATATATATTAAAAGTATGGGGTTCTCAAGGTGGAGTTATTGGTGATATAACTTCTGGCCTTGGAGCTTATACAGAAGGTATTATCAAATTACGTCAAGATACAAAACTTAACATTTATGTAGGTCAACAAGGTGAATGCAAGAATTACCCAATAACAAGTATTTTTTATAATGGTGGTGGAAATTCGAATGGTGAAAACAATGAAAAATCCTGCACAGGAGGCGGTGCTACGTTCATAACTTTTGATGGCAATGTTAGAGACATCATAATTATTTCAGGCGCCGGAGGAGGTGCTAAAAAGCATATGAAAGGTGGTTACGGAGGGAAAATTGCTGGAAATGGTGAAGGTAGCGATGGTTATTTTGGTATGGGTGCTACTATTTCCTCTCCAGGCCGTGGAGGGAAGTATCCTGGTAACCAAAACCCATATTATCCTAGTTGTGATGCCGAGAGTGGCACTTTTTTGAAAGGTGGCAATGCCTGTTCAACAGCCACAGTAGCGTCTGGTGGTGGTGGAAGCGGATATTATGGCGGAGGTGGTGGTGCTGATCAGGCAGCTGGTGGGGGAGGTAGTAGCTTTGCTAGCAACTTCCTCAAGAATGTAATATTTAAAAATGGAAATGAAGAATTCATCCAGCCAGACGGGAGCACTAAAATTGGGCACTCTGGAGATGGATTTGTTTCTATAGAAAAATTATCTGCTCTAACTATTCAATGCAATTATAATAATTATAGCTTGTTGTCTGTTATCAACATGTTTTCTTTAATTTTTATATCTAGTGAATAAAATATATCAAGCATCAAATGTTTTTAATTAATTTTTTTTTTTATGAAATCATAGACTATGATCTCAATGTTGGAATTTGACAATCTTTTGACATCACTAAAACTTAATTTGAACATTGAGATCAATTGAATTCAATATATCGATATTTAAAAAATGATGAAATGAACCATTATAATCTTTTTCATTGATATATGCACCTTGTGGAAAATTCTCATCTAAGGGAGTTCATATGATCTTCCTTTCTTATTTGATATTGAATTATTTTGTTCCATTTTTTCATAAAATATATTCAAAAACCAATAAGATAGTCGACAGCATATGTCTGTTTAAAACGCAAATGGTTGTTTAGGCAAATCGAATCTTCTTGGCAGATTAATTGTCATTTGACATCAACTCAAATTTTGAATTAAAACATTAGAATGCTATTTCTTCTATCTCTTTCAAACAGCTACGTATTTGATTTTCAGCCAAAAGTATCTGACGAATACGCTACTTTATTGCGCCCCTATAGCGGTCGCATTTCAATCTTTAATCACAAACGTGATAATCTCGAAAAAGATTATTCAACAACTGATCTCAATTCCATTGTTGATCAAATATCCAATGATTTCCATCTCGAAAATGAAAGAGTTGCTTTTTATTTTGGACGTACAAAACATGCAAAATTATCCAAACAAGTTTTCTATAGGATTGATTTTAATCAAAGAGATAGGATGGCAAGATCCGTATACCTTGCTGGCACTGTATTTAAAGTCACTAAAGAAAATGGTGTTTATAATATTAAATGCCGTCAAGCAAGAATAACAGGTTCTCTTCAAGCAATATTTTCTGCTAGAAAAGGAGATTTAATTCCAAATGATGAACCTCGATGGGTTATTTCAGCCTATCAGCAATTGACGGGAGAACAAATTACTCAGGTCTACAATTTAATGTACAAGCAGATTGAAGGCCAACTCAATGCCTATAAATCCATTTAAACATTGAAACGTTTAAATATTTTGCAAACGTACTCCTTTTTTTCTTGAATAAGTTATCTAATTCCTCATAAAATAAAATGCTCTAAAAATAGCATATGCATATTCGATGTAATCAAATCATATCAAATGAATTTGCCGTGATTCCAAATATCATAATTGTAATTCATTTGATCCATAACATTTGTAAAACACAGATTTTCAAAAAAAATTAAAAAAGTATTCCGATACGGGGAGTCGAACCCCGATCCTGTGGATGAAAACCACATATCCTAACCGCTGAACGATATCGGATTTACATTAACCTATTCTAAGATTAATTGGTAATAAATAAATATCACTTTTTCATATTGATTAATTGTTTTTTCTGAAATATATTAGTATTTATGATATATTATGTAAATTTCGTCATTTAGTCAAAGAATATTGATTTGGATTTCAAAAAACTTTGAATCTTCAAAATAATGACATTGATGCTGTGAACAATATTTATGATATGACTAATAGCTTACAAACATTCAACAAAAACATAAACTTCCTTGAGGGAACCAAAAAAAAAAGTCAATGAAAAGGAAGTCACCAGCAGGAACCATTGATTCTTTCTTTAATGCATCAAAAGAAAAGAAGCAGGCTTCCATTGATGAGTTAATGCCTATACCCCGCAGGCAATTGACTGTACAAAAAACGCAGCAACAAAAAGGAGTAATTCATATACAAATTCCTTCACTTTCAGACGAATCATCGATCAATGAGGATAAAATAAAAGAAATTATGGCATATCTCAAAGAAGGAATTCATCTTCTTTTTGATGATAAAATTCAAAATGCAAATTTTGCAAAACTCTTTACGAATGTTGAATACATTTGTCGTAACAAGACTCCAGAATATCTTTACAAGTCAATTTCTGAGGATATGCAAGAAGCTGCACTGAATTTTATCAATTCCATCTCAGAAGAGTTCGATATCACCTTGATATCCCAAAAAATATCATTATTTGAGAAATGCCTTGATTATTTCCTCCGTACTTTCCTATACCTCGATCGTTCTTATATATTTCCACTGAGAATTGACGGATTCACAAGTTTGTCAGAGATAGTCTACTCGTATATCAGAAATGGAATGAGCAAAGAACTTGCTGATCTCATTTCTGATCAGATTCTCATTACTATTTCGAAATATCGTCTTCATGAGGAAATTAAGCTCTCTGAACTCAAAACAGGCCTCAATTTTGCCAAATCTACGAAGTTCTACAACGACCATCTCGAACCTACTCTTCTAATCCAAACAAAAGATTATTTCGAAGATATATCTTCTCATCTCAGTCTAAAAGACCTAATTAACTGGAATTACAGCTCCAAAGAGATAGAGACACAACTTCAGGAGTGTGGTCTTGAGAAATCCACTTATTTATCCATTGATTCCATGCAAAATGAAATTGTTCTCAAAAAAGCCGGCCAAAGGGTACTTTTTTCACAAGAATTCTATGATATGATTGATCAATTCGACAAAGAAGAGCTCAAAAGAGTTGTTTCGACCTTTGACAAAGAAGAATTGCGAAAATTATTATTAAAGTCCGTTTCCTCATATTTTTCGACCAAAATCAAATCCACAATACAGAGTTCAACCGATCAGACCCTTATTCCAGACATTTTGCGCATTATTTCGAAGATATCAGATTTTGATCAATTTATTTTCGAAAATTCGCGTGATGCAGTCAAAACCATCAATGAATCTGTATCAGCGTCCATGTCCAGTCAAAGAGACCACATTGCTGAGTATCTTGCCCGTTACATTGACAGTGGCAATCCATTAGTTGGCCCGTCATTAATTCTATTCAAATTAATCGACGCGAGTGAGGTTTTTGAGAGCACGTACTTCCACTTATTTGGTCGGAGATTTTTATCATGGAATGTCGATGTCCAAAGGGAGAACGAGTTGATAGATACACTCCAAATGAATGCATCTAAGGAGTACACTGATAGATTGGTCAAAACAATCAACGATTATAATCAAAGTAAGAGAATCTTGCAGCCAACGAGTGATGGAATGGAATACAAGGCAATGGCATTGTACGAAAGAGACTGGAGTACGAATGAAGGCGAAATTAAGTTCCCAGAACAAATTGAAATATTAAATGAAGAATTCAAGAAGAGATACATGAAGCAACAGAAGACTGATAGTCACATAGTGTTACACTTCTCGGCCGCACTCTCCAATTGCGTTTTGAAGGTAAATAATAAAAGTGAAATCAAAATGTCGGGAGAACAGGCCATAATTGTATTACTACTATCAGAAAAAGGTCCTATGAATGTTGACGACATCCACAATCATACAGGAATCAACGAATCCCAGATAAAAATAAATTTAGATATTTTATCTAAAAAACCACTGAATTTGTTGATAAAAGGTGATGATGATAAGTGGTCAGTTAACAAAGATGCTCAATTCCCTGAGAATTACAGTTATCCGTCAACAAGAAGTGGAAATCTTCAGTTGCAAAGAGCTGTTATTGATAACGATATCAACTACATAAGAACTAATATGATTATGTCATGTATGTACAAGATATTGAAAGAATTTAAGACCCTGAAGTTGGAAGAACTCATTTCAAGGGTAAAGAAACAGTTGAACTTCTTCCCTGAAACAGAGAAGTTGATGTTCGTAATAAATGACCTCAAAAATAAAGATGTGCTGACTCAGGACGAAAACCACGTAATTAGATACGTGCCTTAACTGTATAAATTGTTTTATTTATTATAAATCTACATTTTTTGTTTGATTTTTAATGTTTTATCGAAAAATTCAAAATAAAATTTCATGATTTTGATCATTTTCTTTTAAAAATCTATTGAATATGATTTATTATGATTAGAAATTGATATTATCCCTTGATGTTCTTTGATTATTTCAGAAATTCAAAATTTTTTTTTGTAATTTGTATGATTTTCTTAAAAACATCTACTCATATCGATTTGAATTGATAATTAATGAATGATTTGTTTTATCTGATCTTATTTTGTTATAAATTCTAAATTTATTTTCATGAATTTAATGTTTTTTTATAAAATTTATGGATAAACTAATTTAACATGTAAAATTATTATAATTCATTCATATGGATTTGTTGAATACTTTCTTGATTTTTCCAAATTTTTCTTGTTTTTGAAAAAATGAAAATAATTTTAACAATTTTGATGTTCAAATTATCGATTTTGAAAAAAATTTGGAATTCAATTATTCTCACACTCCCCATAAAAATCATATTTAGATCGTTTGGGCTTAAAAATGAATCATTATTGAAGATATATTTTGGATATAAAAAATAATGCAAAAATTTATTACGTAATGATAGAGTTCTTTTACAGTTTAATGGTGTGATGACTATAATTTAAACAAACAACAGCCTTGTTACTTTTTTGCAGCTTTCTTTTGAATTTCAATGACTTTCTTAGCCTGTAATGTCCAGAAAATAGGTACTTTTGTATCGATAGTTACTTCTTTTGCAGCTACTTCGTTACTTGAGCTGATGAATTTGCCCATTGCGAGAGTTTGGCCGTTTAAGTTCCATCTCAAGCCTTTAGTCTTAAGAGAAACTGGTTTTAATAGCGGGAGTAGTCCGCAAACGTTTGTTGTGACTTTTTGAGGAGTCAAAATTTTTGTTCTTCCTGGGAAGATCCAATTAGAAAAGTTGCTATCATCAGCAAGAATTATGGATAAATCCGGACGTGATAATGCTGAATGAATTTCTGCAGCTGTTTGATCGAATCTTCCATCAAAAGCGCCTAAAAGTAAGATCGGGTTCTTGCATTTCATCTCTGAAAGCAAGTTAATAGCTTTCTCTGCATCTGTAAAGTTTTGATTTTTAAGATCTACAAATTGGGTACCTGCGAGTTCGAATTCGTGCTTAATTTCCGGTCTTATTGTCTTGATATCTCCAACAACAGCATCTGGTGCAAGAATATCGTGATCCTTGTCATGATCTTGTATATCCCAAATTTTATTCGCTCCTCCATCAACACAGATGCGAATATTCGCTTGCTTCCATACTTTATCGAAGTATTTTGGAAGTTGACTGTTTAAAGTAATTGCAGCATATGGAAGTCCATGCTCAAGTGGATTTGAAACAATCATTTTTGTTTTTTTTTGTTTTTTATTGATCGTGTTCGTTCTTGGACTGTATTCAATAGAATTTATGCAATCAAAGATTATCGATTTATATTATAGTAACAAATGAACTTGCAGTACATCCATTTTCTCAAAAAAAATGGCTTATGTAGATCATCCTTCGAAATTAGATACCATTTTACTAGTATTGCTTGAAAGATTCTTTTAAAAATGCAAGACTTTGGCTAATATATGACAAACAATTATTTGTTTTTCAACCTGAAAATACTGACATTTAAAATCATGTTGAAATTGAGCCAAACATATCTACATTGAAGTTTAGAGCAAATTTTATAACTATTTGTATCTTGATTTTCAATCCAAAAGGGAATAATATTAAAGAATTTTGCAATAATATGCTTTTCTTGAGAAATAATCTCCTTATTCCTTTGAAAATACATTGTCTACCATGTGAATAGCCTTTTTGATAAACATTCCATTAACTTCATAACTTTCGATATACATATTGCATATTTCTATATTTTCCTCAGGTAAAATACTAGGTATGCCAAATTGAAATTCTTGACAAGAGATATTTTTTGTATAAATAAAGATATAATATGAATGAATATAAAAAAAGATATTTTGATTCATTCTCATTACTATCACACATATTCAGACATATGACAAATATATTTAGGTTCAATTTTAGATATGTGGGTGTGAATTCGCATTTTTTTTCAGGAGTCGTAAAATCGCTCTCAAATCAAGCGAATTCCGGACAATCTAATGATGACAAGCTAGAATAGGATTTCTTTTCAAAAAACGAATTTTTTATTGCAATCTGATCACAGTGTCCCTTAGAAATAGAACAAAAAGTGCCAATGATCTGATCAACTTTTAAAAACTTTAATTCTGTATTAACAATATATCATAAATGAATATTTATACCCGAAATTAAAGTTTTAAAAGATGATCGGAAATTGGTTATTTTTGAAACATCATTATTTGGACCTAATTCTTGGATCATTTAAATAGAAAGTTGAAATGTTTTATGAATTTATGAGAGATTTCGAAAAGATAAAACTAAAGTACTCACAAAATCTAGATTGAGAGGCAGTCAATGACTTATGAGGGGAAATTAACGCATGGAATTTAATATTATTTAGGTTGATATTCTTGCTTATTATTTCAGAAAAAAATCTTAAAAATTTCAATATGAAAATTGAAAGCAATTCAAAAAAATTGCTAACATGTAAATTTTAATATCCTATGCATAATTTCATATTTTGAACATTTTTTATTTTTGTTTAAAACTTAAAATTTTGCGAATTTAATATAATTTATAAAATATAATACGTATATATATTTAAAATACACTAAATTTAATTGTTAATTGACGTTTTTGGGAATGAATTTTATCAAAACATGCCTGAATCCGAAAATTTGAAAGAACGAATTACACAATCATATATGTAGAATTCAAAATACAAACTTAAAGATTGTATACGTTTAAAATTATTCAGATTGTGTTTGATTTCCACTCATTCTGTTTCTTTTGAACTCTAACACTAACATTTCATGATGATTACATGATCCATTTATACATGGTTGAATTGTTCCAGATTCTACCAGAAAATCAATCCAAATTTCTCAATGCATTCATGTTGATTGGACAAAATTTAAAATTTATCAGCCTGTTTCCAGAGAAACTCATATATTCCCTAATGAAATGTAATTTTTGCTACATTTATTTCAATCAAATTTCAAAAAATTGACTGCAGAGCTTGAAAAGGTGATGAATTGTAATAAACAGAAATTCATCAAAAGTGACAGCTCTCAATTTTTTGACATTTGTAAATTCTAAATTGAATGAGAAAAATGAAATAATACTAAGCATAATACAATATTCTAGATTTAATTATAATTAGGAAAAAGTTAGTTTTGAGAGTACTTTTCATAGGCATATAGAATGAAATCTTCTGAAAAATAATATCACATAAACTCATATTATTTTCTAATATATAACTATTTTATATAAAAATCAAATTAAAAAAAAAAAAAAAAAAAAAAAAAAAAAAAAAAGAAAAAAAAAAAAAAAAAGGTAGTGGGGCTTCCAGGCACTTCGTGCCTTCTAGCCCTGAAGATGTTTAGTAATAAATGAAGTTTTTATTCGGAAAATTGTTAGTCTTCTGGGTCGAAAACATTATATAATGTTTCACTTTTCACAAATTATATATGTTTTCATGCTTTGTCACTTTTCTGTCACTTTTCGGGTAAAAACATTTTTATATATATATAAATGAATTTTACAAAACCACCGTTACCGTTCTTTGGAAATAAGAGTAAATGTAAAGATATTATATTGAGAGAACTTAAGAAACTACCGAATGGTCTAACATTTGTAGATTTGTTCGGTGGAAGTTTCTATATATCCCATTTGTGCCATATAATATTTCCAGACTCAAAGATTATATGCAATGACTTCGACAACTATATGGACCGTCTCAAACATATTCCAGACACAAACAAAATATTGAAAGAGTTAAAAGAAAAGATTCAGATAGGTAAGATGGAACGTATACCATTAGATAACAAAAATATTGTGAGAGAGGTTTTGAAAAAAGCAGAATATATAGACTGGGATAGTATATCTGCTAGACTATTATATAGTGGTGCTATAAGAGTTCATGACATTGAAACACTTATGTCAAAAGTTTTATATCTTAACTATACAAATGTTTTCAAAGAGGACATAGAAAAATATATTGAGGGTATAGAGTTTGTGAGATGTCATTGGACAGAGTTGTATGAAAAATATAAAGACAAGGAAAATGTTTTCTTTATAGTGGACCCGCCGTTCTATAACACATGGGATTTTCAATACCAAGTAGACTGGACTTTGAGAGACTCTTTAGAAACTTTAGACGTTTTACATAACCATCCATGCTTTTACTTTACATCCGATAAAAGTGGCTTGGAAACCGTTATGAGATGGTTAGAGGACATACATGACTATGAGTTTAGATACGATAAGATAGAATATGAGAGAGGTCCTATAAACTGGAGAAAGTGTCATAACAAAGAAATTTTACTAGTAAGTAAATGTGGTTTGAAATAGGACTACTTGTTTTAGGTTTTTTCCATTGTGTCATTTACTTATTTGACGTGGCAGAAAGATATAGAGAATATGAAGATGAACCAATGCCTGCAAATGTTCAGCATATGTACTCGTAAGAGATATTTTTATCTAATATTAAATGGACGCACAGAACTTAGCGAATGCACAGCAACCTGGACAACCAAACCCAGAGAATATTCCAAATGAAGTTAGAATACAAACTGCAATGGCAAACTATGGTCAAGTGCCAACAGATGTACAAATGCAAACTGCCATGTCAAATGACGCTGCGTTAGGTTTGCCACCATGGTATGCAAATATGAGATGGAAAGAGTTTTATACAAACCCTGAAGTGGGATATAAACAACTCTATGCAGATGACGCGAACACAGGAGTTGACCCAGAATATGTTTTCTACCAGAGGAGAAACAGAATGTATGAGCTCCAGTTAAAGAATGCTATGGAACTCAACAGGAAACGTAAGAGACTAGGCGGACATTAGATTTTTACATATAGTAAAATGGGTTTCTTCAGTAGTATTGGAAACTTCTTTCGAAATGTTGGAAGAGGTATATGGAATGGAATAAAAACCGTAGGAAGAGGAATTTGGAACGGAGTCAAAAATATTGGTAAAAGAGTAGGTCAGTTCGTTGGTATTATACCTAAAGACCCTGAAAGAACAAGCTCCTGTCATACAACAGCCTGAACCTGCACCACAGTCTAGTTGGCAACCAAATCCAACACCTCAACCGTATTAAAAAATTATATTTTTACCGTTCGATAGTAGTTGTATATGAAACTAAGTTCTAAGTAAAACGCATGGTATAATGGAATTATTCTTTTTCTTCCATCTGTAGTAAACCATACTTGAAAGTCTGAAATACTTCCACTTGGTGGTTCGTATAACTTTGTAGGTTTTTCGTAAAAGTCATTTGCCAAGCATAAGAAAGAGTTTTGGGCGCCAGAAAATGAAGCATGAACAATAATAGCAGCTGGGTCGAAAACATCTTTAAATAAATATGGTTCATCTCTTGCATATCGACTGTAAATATTTGCTAAAGGAAGTTCGACTTTCTGATTTAACATTCTTTGCAAATAATACCATGACATTGCAGTGAATTCTGTATATATTTGTTCGTCTTTCTTTGGATTGTCTTCGTAGATTTGAAATGACACTTGTGAATTTTGTTTGTCATATACAATTCTCACATAAAGTGTGCTCTCGGTATTTGCATATTCATCAGCATATTTTGCATAACATGAATTTATTTTATCTTCTATATTTTTTAACGCAGTCTGTAGAGAAGATGAAAGGTCAACTTGTATTAGCTCAATTTCTTCCCACATTTTTCGTTTCCCTTCAGATATATAATCTATATGAAACCTTACAATAAATGGAAAACTTTTATCTTCTACAGACACAAACTTCATTCTACGAAAGCCAATAGCTTTTGTGACAGATGGGTCTCTTAGCCATCTTAATGGGTAGTCAAAACGATAGCCTTCATGCTTTACGGTCTCTGTCTCAAACTTTTGACCGACATTAGTAAAAAGTTCATCTAATGGTTTAGTTGTAGCAACTCTTGAATTTTCTTTTTCTATTGGAAGCATATTTTATCTAGAATAAAAATGTCAAATGAAACAGCGTCTATGAGAGAAATACAACACAACCGACAACTCATTATACAAGCTCTAAATAAGAACACAACAAACTTTTCAAACTATTCTAAGATATCTGAGTCATTGAAAGAAGGAAACTTAAAACTGACATTAAACCCAATGACAGATGAGTTTCTGTTTCAAGACAATAAGAACCATACTGTCTGTATAAATCCAACAAAAGGAACTTTAAACGAGAAACCTATAAATGAACTTCTTTTGAAAGCAGATGTTGACAACAAAGCTG